TGGAAACAGTGGGTATGAAAATGAATGTATCCATCTATTTTTCTCCTGTTAATCAGTTCTCTTGATTCAAAACGTTATTCGTCTGAGGAAGTTCTCTTTTCCTCCCAAATCAAAACCAGATCTAACAGCTGAACACTTTCAAGAGACTATATACTTTTATTTAATGAAAAGTATATGAAGTAATAGCTAATGAGTGATTAGACTCAACTTATTCTAACTGAAAACTGATCAAACAACCAGAGCAAAAAACTACTGAAGTTTGTGTCCTGGCCAGTGATGGGAATAACGGCGTTATAAATAACAGCATTACTAACGGAGTTACTTTTTCAGTAACGAGTAATCTAATCGATTACTCTTCCCATCCGAATAACGCCGCTACTTTGGTTTTATTTGCACTACAAAGAGTGTATATATTTGTTATTTATTTTTGGTATAGTGCTTAACAAACATAATTGAATTTTGCCCAGTTGTGGCCTGTTGAGGGGCAATAAATATCAAAAGTTCCAAAACATCTATTGTGTTATTGTATGGATCCACTATATAAACATAATATCTACATACATGGCATTTGATTGGAGGCTAGTCTCACTTTGTTCCACAGCAACATTAAAATAGTTTAGATTTGTGTCCATTGTTTCTGTTAATAATGGATTGTAGTATCGTCCATCTCATTATAATATTCAGATTTATCATAAATAATTGAACATGTATTTTAAGTTCAGTTAAAGAGGGGTGGAGGTGGGGTCACATTGCAGCATTTAAAAATTGACTTGAAAGTAACGCAATAGTTACTTTCTGAAGTAACTAGTTACTTTTATAATTTGTAACTGAGTAACTAATTTAGTTACTTTTTGGAAGAAGAAACTAGTAACTGTAATTTATTACTTTTTAAAAGTAACTTGCCCAACACTGGTCCTGGCATTTCAGGATTTGGGATATAATGAAATCAGTTGCTGCAGGTTACCTGATGTTTGCCCTGACAGCGACTGTGGCTCACTTTGTTTCAGCTACGACTTAAAAATAGGTAGAATTTATCATCCCCTCCCATAAGGTAGCATCAGAGTGGACTCTTAGGATGGAAATCATTGTTGCACATGATAAATGTTGAATTGAATTTGTTTTACTATTTGTCCTTTTTCACTCAGGTTTAACAAGTTAATCAATAGTTGCATTTTCTGTTTGGTCAGAGGTTCGAATCCTGACAAGAAAACTGTGTCAAACTCTTTGAGCTACTTTGCAGTAATAGGACTTAAAAATGTTCCACATCTTTCATACAGTTTGCTTCTTTTGTTTCATCTAATCTTCACCAAACCCGGTGCATAGCGCTATAGATACAGGGCAGAGGTCAATGCTGTCTATTTGAATAATAATACGATGAATAGTAACAATAATGGCATTATTAATATGAACCTTATTTCATGTTTTAGTAAAGTCCAGCGATTTGACAATCAATTGTGTGATTGCTTCAATCAAGCAGACATTATTATCTTCAGTCTATATTTTGCTGATTATTCATATTTGTGTAATTCTTTTTTAATGGCGGTCAATGGGAGTCACAATGTGAAACTCTATACATGCTAAAGTCATTGAATGCAGGCCCATGGAGACGTGCTAAACACATTAAAATGTATTTAATAGCACCACCATGTGGTCGTTATTTTTGAACAGTGAGTTCCTTGGATGAATGATAAACAATGATGATATTATTATTGTGTGGCGGTATTGATTCCCCAAGTCTCAATTCGAGGAACAGGAGCCTGAGAATCAGTTCCCAATTGCATTATAAAAAAATAAATAGAAACCACTTGGAATTACCTCTTAAATAAAAAGTAACAAATGGCTCCTCAATGACTGTTGAATAATGAAACAATGCCTCATCAATAAAGGGGAAAATGGGTAAGGAATTTAATGAAAACAAAACCATGAATAAATAAGCCTGCAGGCAGCAGGTAACTGGGAGGAACTGGTGCCTCTAACAGCGTTCACTCAGTGTTTAGTGACTTTATCTAAAAAATTATAGTCAAGCCCAATAATTTGATACTAGTTGTTTTTCAAAGACAGTTAATAAAGATTTTATCGAGGCCATTTGACAACAATGCTGTCATAGAGGTTCATATCTTAAAGAGCTCATAGTACCCTATTACCCCACTAGAACACTACGTTCTCTGAATGCTGGGCTACTTGTGGTTCCTATAGTCTCTAAAAGTAGAACAGGAGCCAGAGCCTTCAGTTACCAAGCTCCTCTCCTGTGGAACCAGCTTCCAGTTGTGGTTCGGGAGGCAGACACCCTCACCACATTCAAGAGTAGGCTTAAGACATTCCTCTTTGATAAAGCTTATAGTTAGGGCTGGATCAGGTGAGTCCTGAACCATCCCTTAGTTATGCTGCTATAGGCCTAGACTATCGGGGGATTTCCCATGGTGCACTGAGCTCCTCTCTTCCTCTCTCTTTCTGCACTCATTCATGTTCCATTAATGCATGTTACTAACTCCACTTCTTCCCCGGAGTTCTTGTGCTTTCTCGTCTCACAGGTTCTTATCGATCCTGGTGGAGCCTCAATATTACTGATATTATTATTATTATTCATCCCCCATCGTTGCGGCTATTGCCATCATCATCATCTTCATTTCCAGTGTTGGGCAAGTTACTTTTAAAAAGTAATTAGTTACAGTTACTAGTTTCTTCTTCCAAAAAGTAACTAAATTAGTTGCTCAGTTACAAATTATAAAAGTAACTAGTTACTTCAGAAAGTAACTATTGCGTTACTTTCAAGTAAATTTTTAAATGCTGCAATGTGACCCCACCTCCACCCCTCTTTAACGGAACTTAAAATACATGTTCAATTATTTATGATAAATCTGAATATTATAATGAGATGGACTCTTACTACAATCCATTATTAACACAAACAATGGACACAAATCTATTTTAATGTTGGGACAAAGTGAGACTAGCCTCCAATCAAATGCCATGTATGTAGATATTATGTTCATATAGTGGATCCATACAATAACACAATAGATGTTTTGGAACTTTTTATATTTATTGCCCCTCAACAGGCCACAACTGGGCAAAATTAAATTATGTTTGTTAGGAATATACCAAAAATAAATAACAAATATATACACTCTTTATAGCGCAAATAAAACAAAAAAAACTTCAGACAATTGGTAGATATACTGTACTTCAAGTAACAGTGTAACAATATGAGGTGCTTTCAATCTAACATAATAATAATAGCATAATGTGCATTTCACCATTACATTGGTTCCTTTCATTCTTGGAGGGAACAGTAATGACTATACTTCCATTTAGAGAAGGCTACTTTTGGATTATTGGAGCTCGCCATACCTGTCTCTCGCTGACTGACTCTTGTGTTGTTCGTTGTGTGTCCGACTCTGCGTGCTTTCGAACATCGCCCAACTCTACCTCTGATTGGCTGACCATGACTCAACCTCAGCCAGTCGTCAGCATGTACGCGTTTGTCTCGTGCACTGCCCACTAACCGAAGAACAGTAAATAAAAGAGATCTCGTTGGTCTGATGAAAACAAACAGCTTCAATTATAGTTTCTGGCAGTAACGGTAACGGCCTTATTCAGATGGGAAGAGTAATCGATTAGATTACTCGTTACTGAAAAAGTAACGCCGTTATTTATAACGCCGTTATTCCCATCACTGTTCATTTCTACTAGTGTTGTTGTTGCTGTGCACCTGTCTCTCTCTCAGTATATTAAAGGGACATTGTGTAGTGTTGTCAGTATTTTATTAGCTAAAGTCTTCATTCATAAATGTGTCCTCATTGGTGTAACATTACCTCTGCCAATGATCTGACTTATCCTCGTAAGTGAAGAATTTCTTATCTGTATATACATTAGACGGGCAAGTCCACGGAGGCTTCCATGTCATTCCACCATTTTGAAAAACTATAATCACCGAGAGGGACATAAAGCACTAGGCTACCTGTCTCACTAATCCACAACGCGTTCTCGTTCAGAGCCAGCGTCACGTGACTGAAACCAGCTATAACGGAGAAGGAGATCAGTGAGAGGCACATTTGAAAGTCTGCACTGCACTTTAGTTAATAATGGAGGATCATACTAGAGCCACAGGAGAAGGAATCCTCGTCGCCAACAAAGCCAAAAGGGAATTAAAAAGGCAACGTGAGCGGCAAATTCAAAAAACGAGGGTAAACATCGGGGTAGCTTTTCCCAGGTGGAAAGAGCTAATGAAGGAGAAAGACTTTCAAAGGGACGCTGAAGTTGCCTGCTTTCTCCTCCACAGGTAAATCAATGTTACAGTCTAAATTACAAGGTTTTTTTATTGCTTGGGTGTGTAAGTCATTATATAGGCAGCATAACAGTAGAACATGTATAGTTAAAAGCTAAACAGCCTCGTTGGTTGGTGATTAGCAGCTAGCCAGGCTATGCCCACTAGCTACCTCCATCAGTAGCCTACTTTCATGGTCTTACGCCTGGCATCAAGTTGTAATATTATTTTTGTCTCAAGGGACACTTCTATTTTTCTTATTCATGTTAAGAGTGGTCCTGAATGCAAACCCAGGTGTGTTGACGACAAGCCCCGCCTGCGAATGGGGGATGGGTTGGCATAGCTTCTTGGTACATAACAGCTACCGTAGTTGCAACACGCATTTGAAAACGCGAGGCACTAGAGAGCACTATTCGTTTAAATGCAAAATACAATTTCACCACTAGATGGGAGAAATTCCTACACCGGCTACCTTTAAGGTTTATGGACTGATGATATCCAAGATTCACTCACATTTTACTTTAATATGTTAAAATGAAAAACTTAGAACCTGGCTTTATGCAATGTGCAGTTTTAATAGATGATGCCTAATTTGCATATTCAGAAAACGTATGAATCAAACAATAACATGAGCAACGAGACGTTTCATGCTTCATCTGTCTGAGATTCTGTTCTGATGTTCTCAGTTCGCATCCTCACAAACAGTTCATACAGAAAAGAAATCAAACGACACTTAGATAAAAAGTGATTTAATCTGTTTTTTTTTCTTTGTGACACAAACAGTGTAAGGCTCAGAACCGGTCGCACACTTGAATCAAAATATACACGTTTCATCAGATATAAAACCAACAATCAGCTCTCAGACACGTTACTGTGGTATAAAACACGTATGTACAGATTAACACCCCCCGCCCTCCAACCCCACCCACCCACCCTGCACCTCTTACTGACCCACTGGTCCCAGTCCTGCCTCACCCGTCTCACCCGACACCGAAGGTCCGTGATGCATTCAAGTCACCTGGGAAAGACTGACAGATGTAAACGTGTCCTGTGTTTGTGGTTTCTGTTGACAGCAGAACGGATAATAAATAAACTATTTACATCCAGGAGGAGCGTTCTCATTGGTCCATCTGGGAGAAACAGCTGCTCACATCTGTTTGGGACGCACTGAGGACCACCGGGACGTTCTCCCGTGTGGCGTCACAGTCGATCTCCGTTTTGTCAGTTTATTCAAATGAATTTCGTGTTATTTCAAATTCTTACCGTACGCAGACGCAATGTGGGACGAACTGAAACTGATCACTGAGTCCAAAGTACAACAACAGTGACCTCCGCAGCCGGGCGGTCCAACTGGAGGAGGTAAACCTCAATCCTCCCCAAGAACCACCAACAAGCAGGAGCCCAGAGTCCTTTGTCACAGTTAACCTCTTTATTAAAAACTGATCCACGATCAAACTGCAGTTGTCGTTTGCAGAAATTCAACAATGAAATATTTTTAAAAAACGTTGCATTCAGTCTGAGAGATTAAAAATATAAGCTAGCAACAAAAGCGTCGATTCTGCACCATTTCCTGCTGGATTCTGATTGGCTGGTTTATACACAGTCATCAATTTGATCCTGAATATCTGACAACGGTCGTTTTTGGTCCCTAAAACCATGAACGCAACTCAACAGAGACCGAAGTTCTGCCAGCAAGTGGGTGGAAAAAATAAAGAGTTTCAAAAAACCAGCATTCCAGAACCGATCCAGGGCGGTGACATGCGATGTGCTTGTTGTGCTCTCTGCACCATATCTCTGTTTCAGTCAGGAAACAAGGATTGGAGAATGGAGGGAGAGCATTTTAAAGAAAGGGGCGTCCTTGAGTAAGGGCGTACATTCCTTAGCAGCTGTTCAAGCATCTACTAGGATTGGTAGGCGCGGAGATCTCCCATCTGGTGTCGCAAGACCACCAAAACTCTAAATCCACTGCCAGATGTTTAACTTTCATCTGGGACAGATCAACGTTGCGAGAACTGGAGTTCAGGTAGAAGGAAACTTTCTCTGAGCCTCTGGAATGAGACAGGACTTCAGTTTGTTCTGGAAATTAAAGAGGAAGAGGTCTAGTTTCAAAATCCCATCTACCGAACCTCCCAGGTGTTTTGAATGCACCACGTCTGTTCAGGTGGACGTGTGAGCGGCTGGAATGTCGACGTAATAATATTAAGACACACAGATAAACCAAACCAGCTTCTGGTTTCAGTACGGTTCTGACGGCTGCGGGGCTTCTTCTCCGTCAAACTTTGAGAATTAAGAGGAATTGACACCTGATGTACGACTCAGCGCTGCGTTGAAGGCACTCCACTTTACATCTGGTTTAACAATAGAGACTGAAGTCGCACTGGTGGGCTGAATCCAGTGAAGCGGTAGAGAAATCAATAAAAAGATTCCCACAGGAAAACACCAACAGAGCCTAAAGTTCACCATAATTGTGTTTTAAGTCTTTAAAACCAGAAACCTGAGGCAGGCGGATTTGTTTGCATCTAGAAGGCCGTTTTTGGTTTCAGCTGTAGTGGATCACAAACTTTTATAAATAAAACCGTTGAGAGGAGCAACGCGACAGAAAAGACAAGCTAACATCATGATTCACAAATCCAACAGAACACCAAACAAACAAAACAACATTCGTCTGCGGATTGTAAAAGGCAGCGGAGCGGCGGGAAGAACCGCCAAGCTCGCCAAGACACCAAAAACCCAACAAATAAAAGTTCAGGAATGATTAAAATATTGCTACAATATTTGATTTGAATAAAACATGATTGCATACATGGAAATAAAGAAATCAAAAAGGAATAGGAAAAACAGAGAATTGCATCTAGGACTAAAGACCCAGCAAACCCGCTAAAACAGAATCAGTTCACATGTTTGACGCTACAGTAACCAGCAGTACAAAACACTAACATAAAGGACTGAAAACACCAATAAAATACACAGAAAATATGGATATATCTGTAATACATCTCATCAACAGTAAACCTTTACCAACTGTAAACCTGTTTTTTGCCAATTTACAGAGGCATGATGGGAGATTTGTTATAATTATTTATTTTTTTTAAACATGTCAAAGTCGAGGTCACTGACTCCAGGAATAAGGCACAGGGATCATTTGAAGGCTAAACCAGGCCAAGGCCCGGACTAAGATCTGACAGCTTGAGGGTAAATGTGTGACTTCCCAAAGTGTCAGAGCTGATATTTTAAAGACCGAAGTGTTACCTCAGAGGGGAAACTTCAAAGAAGAGGATTAGGACCACAGGAAAACCACTGGGAATCTGAGATTAAAGAAGAATTCTGAAGACAACTCCAGTCCAGAGAAATTAATTTAGAAGGCTGACTTTAATTCCTTGATTCTGGGATTGAAGTCAAAAGGCAAGAGTGGCTACAAGGTATCAACTTCAAAACAAGAAGGACACGAACACGAGTCCGAATTCTGACTACAATCTGAGAATTACTGCTAGTTCCAAACGTCCTCAGAATACTGACTTAATTCCCCGACTTCTGAGATTAAAAGGCAGAATTCTGACTTCCACCAGTGATCCCAGAACGGACCCTAATCCTCTTTGAAGGCAAAAAAAACTACAAAAATAATTTAACACCACACCAGACTTCACGGTGGTTTCTGCAGACATGCGTTGGAATGATCGGAGTGTAGTGGACACCATTGAGTACACTCTCGGAGGAGCGTGGAGGATTCAGATGCTAAAGCCTGAGGCTCAGATGGAGGACTTGGAGAAGGACACCCGCAGATGGTGGTTCTCGCCCAGGTCATGGTTGTGAAACTCGATGAGGGACTCGATGGCCTCCTCCACTGAGCCCATCTGGATCAGAGCCATCTTGTGGTCCTTCCTGAAGGAGAAACGAACAGGAGGTTATCAGACTCTACGGGAAGTTCACATGATTAAATATAAAGAATGGAAACTTCAGGACAAGCCAAACCCAGAGACTTTAGGGCCAAAGACAAGGATAGAGTTTTCAGGGCAACTGTGAAGACTTTGGGGCAAGGACTGGGACTTGAGGGTAAAGATAAAGGTTTTGGGACTTGGTCAAAGACTTCTGAACATTTATTATTGTTCTGAAGCCTTCAGAACAAAGACAAAGGCAAGAATGAAGGCTTCAGAACAACGATAAAGGTTCTGGCAAAGAAGGAAAGCTAAGGACCCAGGGTAAAGGTTTTAGGGCAAGAATGACCAGGGCAAGAATGACCAGGGCAAGCACAGGGAAGGAAGTCCAGGGCAAAGAGTAAAGCAAGGTATGAAGCATCAGGTAGGATAGGGGCTTAAGGACACAGCATGAATTCAGAGATGCAGGACAGGGCAAGGACATGGTGGCTTGGGGGCACGATAACAGTAACGGTTTTAGGATTTGGACAAATACTTCAGGACAAAGATAAAGGCTTCAGAACAACGAGGAAAGCTTTAGGGCAAAGACAAGTGCTTCAATGCAAGGATCCAGGCAAGCATGAAGGCTTTGTGGTGGGACAAGGACACAGGGCAAAAAGTCAGGAACATTAGGGTGAGGGTTCATGACAAGGACATGTGGACTCTAAGGACGAGGGTAAAGGTTTCTGGGGAACAACAAAGGCTTCAGGACAGACAAACACAGGAAAGGAACTTCAGTGCAAAGATGGAGACTTCAGAAGAAAGACAGGGACATTGGGATTAAGGAGGTCAGTGCGAGGGGCAGGAGACTGAAGAGAGAGACAGAGTAATTAATTAATTAAGACATGGATCAATAAAGCTTTGGGTGCAGAGAAAGTAAATGGTTGACTCACTGGAAGAACTTAAAGGCCTTGACCGTGGCTCCTGAGCTGGAAAACAGCATCTTGAGATCGTCCTCAACCACAGACGGGCTACAAGCATAAAAATAACATTTGCATTAAAGACACATTATCCCTCCATACTGTCTCACATGGTTGAGGAATGTTCCTGGTTGTTTCAGCCTGGTGTCGGTGTATAAAGTGCAGCCAGGTGTTGATAATCCTGCAGTGGAAGGACTTACGGGATGTTGGAGAGGTGTAAGGTGGCAGATGGTGGGAAGATGTTAGAGTAGTTTTTGGAGCCGGGCTTCTTGAAGCGGTGCAGGGGGGAGTTGCTGTAGTCTTTGGTTAGACCCTGGTCCTCGTGGCCTTCGCGGGGAAGCTGGACACTGGTGTGTTTGGACAGCGTGATGCGCAGAGACTTCCCGTGCAGCTGCTGGCCGCTCAGGTGGCTCATGGCTGAAAACCAGACAGGAGAAAAACGCTGCTCAAATTCCTGACTAGATTATTTATTGTATTATTTAATTTTTCTTTTCCTGTAATACATGCACATATTTATTTTATTTATTGCATTCTTTAATATGTTTTTCCAGCACGTTTCAGGACTAGAATGCTTATAATGTATATTGTACATACGTATATGTAAGATGTCTAAAATGTCCTACCTATCTCAAGATATCACCACTGCCGAGCCTATAAAAATACATTCTAACTGACTAACAACTGTCACCAGAAGATATCCAGATAATTAGACTCTAGTCTCGAACTGTTGGCCTAAAGAAGTTACCTAGCTGAGCCTGTGTGCTGTCAGACATCTGAACCAGAGCGTTCTCCTTCTTGTTGAACAGGATCTTCACTCTCATCACGTCACCATACACACCTTAACAGAGCCAGACATAGATAAAAGGTTAAACTATTGTTACACAGGAAGTCACACAAACACAAGGATCTACACAAAGCTAGGCCTGTTACACCCGACAGAGAGCGGTGCCTGAAACTGGTCTGACTGCAGCCTGCCAAGCCACTGACCCTTAGTCTAATGGTCAAATTAAACGTATATGGAGGAGGTTTAACTGAGAGATGGGGACTCACTCTGACGCAAGTGCTGAATGTAAAACCTGGAGTTGAAGGGAGAAGCAGCACTTAGACGCTGCCGTCGAAAGCGGGAACGCTAACGAATTTGTGAATTTCATTTAGAAGGCAGGAATTTCTGAATGTTATACACAGGAAATGCAGTGAGGAAATTAAGGGTAAGGGTCAGAGAAAATTAAAATGGCAGATTAACACCACGTAGGAGCTATGAATTATGGGAGTGTTGACTAAAAAAACAAGAGCAGCTGATTCAGCACTGAGGACATGCAAACTGAAGGAAACCCAGCATGCAAACTCAAAAACTCAGGTTTACTGAAATAAGATGAAACACAATAAATGCAGCTTGGATAAGAAAATGAACCACAGAGGCAACTGGAGAATGCTTCTCCACCTCAGTACGATGGAGGGGAACTGAGTTGAGTTTATAGCAACATCTATTTGCCCAAATCCTCCAAACACACTGGAATCTGTTTAGATTTCAGCGTCAGTCACTAATAAGTGAAGCTCACAGTTCAGTGACATCTGCAGGTTTTTGATCCCTAAATAGTCACAAACAGATTTTTAGAGTCTAAATCACTGAGATCTGTGACAGGCAGCATTGTAGACTTTAACAAAATATTCTGACAGACTGATTGTTAAAGCTGCCATATGTTTAATGTCTCTATAATAATCAGTGTGTGTGAGCAGAGAGTGAACAGGTTGTAGTGTAGCTTTGTCCCTCTGCTGCCTGTGGACTGATCTCTATGTGTCTCTATGTAGGGTTGAGGGTCAAAGGTTGTGACCTTTATGCTCCCGAGTGCCAACAGTGGGCAACACTAGCTAACGTTAAATGTCAATGTGCATTATTTTCCATATCTATATGGTCTTTCACTTTGTTAATGTTTGGATATTCAATTAAAGGACCTGTGTGTAGGATTTAGTGCCATCTAGTGGTGAAGTTGCAGAGTCCATCAGCTGAATACAACTCAGCCTTCCAAGTGTGTAGGGGAAACTAAAATTAGCTGTGAAAGGACCTATGGCAGTTCAACATGGCGGACTCTGCCAGAAGAGGATCCGCTCCCTCTGTAGATAAAAACATCTCACTCTAATGAAAAACACAATGATTCTTATATTCAGGAGATTAAACACTAATGTAAACATACATATGAATATTATATTACAGGAATGTGACACACTGGAGCTTTAGATATTAGTTTTGCATTTGCAGAGCCTCTGGTGGTTTTTGGGACTTCAACTGTTGCTGCTCAAGAAGAAGCCTGAATTCAGCACAGAGCAAAAGCTGCAAATATTGTGAATAAACTCAAATCAAAACACGCAAAAAATCTGACAAAACCAGCAGACACTCATTATTTTTCATTAAAAAACAAATGAAAAAGAGGAAAAACAAACAGGAACTTAAAATCAGAACAACCAGGTGGTACTGATAATTCAAAATAAGAAGCTAGTGAACATACCGAAGAGAATAAAGAGGCAGTGGGGCGTAACTCTCTTTAAAGACAGCAGAGAAGGCAGCGGAGGGACAGGACAGGTAAAGGTGGGAGGGCAGGACAGGTGGAGGTGTCCGAGGCGTTTCCATGGCAACAAATTTAAAAAAAAGGGGAAAAAAAGACAGGTGAGGGGTCAATCAGGAGGTTAATTACCTTTGGAGAGGAGGGGTAAGATCATGTCAATATGGAGGAGAACATGTTCACATGACTTGACAGTGTGTGTGTGTGTGTGTGTGTGTGTGTGTGTGTGTGTGTGTGTGTGTGTGTGTGTGTGTGTGTGTAGGACAACAGGGTTTAATGTGAAGCCATTAAAAACATTACAGGAATGTCAGAAGCCAAACAAAGTGCACGATGTTCTTCTGACATCACTCAGGTGTGATTGTTTGGGATTCAGATTGGACTTGAGGACGTGAACCCTGACGTCTGTGTTAATGCGAGATCTCTCTTTAGGGAGCTGTGACCTCTGACCTCTCTGATTGGTTGTAATGTTGGTGACGTAAGAGTTGTTGTGTCCCAGTTTCAGCATCCAGGTGAATAAATCATAAAGTAAACAATAAACAGTAATAGTCTCTCTGACGTCCCCAATATGTTTGTGAAGAGCCACAGTCACAGACGGCTGTTTTCAGTAACCAGGCTTCATTCAGCTCCGCCTCCACACTGAGACCTGTGGGGGACGTCACAGAGACTACAGACAGTTTATTATACAGTTTGTGACAGCTGTGTCCTTCTGAAACATCGGCTACAGACATGCAACTTGTTTGTGTTTGTGGATTTCTCATGAAACAGGTGAACATAAAAGGCGGTTTGGTTTATGTAGATGTGTGAGTGTAGCAGGGACATCGATAATAATAGACATAAACATAAAATATAGTTTTAAAAGTAAACATGAAAAATGTTTGACACAAAGTTTAAAGGTCGATGAGAACTTTGATCAACATGTCTGAGGATGACAATGAAGCAGGACAAGATGGTGAAGGACCCACCTCGGGGTTGAGGTTGCTGATCAGCAGGACACAGACTCCAGCAGGGAGGGGGGGGAATCCCAGCCTGGTAGCCCCGGGGAGGGACAGAGAGGCCAGGCCTCCGGGCAGAGCCGGGCACGTCAGGCCTGGATAGGGGAAGGACACTGGGAGAGGTGAGACGAGTGAACAACGATCGAAAAATTGCACGAGACATCTGAATGACACCAATGACACCAAAACAGGGTTCACACTAACAAATCAGTTTCCAGGACCTTTCCAGGACCTTTCCAGGAGTTTCATTACAGGACAGCACTTGCTCGCAGTCATATAAACTGCAGTTTAAGGCAAACTGAATGTGTCCATCAGTAAGTGTTCATTAACAGTGTTTGTATCCATCAACCATAGCAACAGATAGCTGATCAGTAACAGGCTGTATGTGTGGAGATATGTTCACTGTCTGTAAACCTGCTGTGAAATCACAGTTTATCCACCAACAGCCAGCTTCACTGAGTGACTCAATGAATATTTACCAGAACAACACTGATTATTTACAGGATATTTGCTCATTGTAATCAATTTCCAGGTGTTTCCAGGACTAGAAGAGAAGTCTCTTCCATCCACACTATGATCCTGATAATCCAGCACAGATATGACTGGCTCAGTTCTGATCATGTGACTCAAACTCATGACTGGCTGACCTGTTACTATGGTTACAGACAGCACATTTACTGACACTGATTTCTGCCACTAGGGGTCTCTCACATCCAAACAGTAACAAACAGCGTTCTGATGCAGCGCGGGATCAAGGGAGATGTTGCAGGGGAGACTCACTTGCAGGCTGGATAGTGAAGGCCGGCGGGAAGGCGTGAGTGGCTCCTGCGTACGGAGAAGCTGAGATGATTCCTGGAGCTGCAGAGAAGAAACAACAGCTGAGTTACCGAGAGAGGAAGAAAACAGTGAATCTGTCAGAAAGAAGAATATAAAGTCTGATTGTTAAAATGATAAAAATACAGAATACAGACAGAGAATGGATCAATATATCAGGATAACTCATCTCTGATCAATATTCACAGGAAATAATCAAACTTCAATCAATTAGAGTTTCTGTTATTGTTTTACACTGAATATAATATGAAATGAAGTTGTAGCACATTTCTTTTGTAAAGCTACAGAACTTGTTTGACTCATCAATGTTTTGTAAGTTTGAGCCATGTGTTTATTAAGGTCTGAAATAAAAACAAGATGAGAACTTAAATATTCCCAGCACTTTCTGTGATGTAGTATGCTTGCTTATCATAGGAAGTAATAAGAAATGACTCTTTACATTAAGGTAGTAGCCTAGTGAGAACAGGGTGTTCGGGGAATCGCTTTTTTTTCTCTTTTTCATCAAACTGCAGTTTTTGCAAGTTCCTGCAATTTCATCGCATAATATTGCATAAATATCTCACATATTCCATCGAATTTTTTAAGAAAACGTGCCGCATAATCAAGGATTTTTGCCCGCAACAATCACAAAAAAATTTTTCTGGAAGGACTGATTAAAATACTTTTCTTTGTTTTGTCTTGATGGCGAAGAAACGATACTCAACCGAGGAGGTTTTGTTCGCGGGCGGTGACGAAGAATAAGCACTTTCCTCCGGTCCGGATTCCTTCTTCAATTAGATCATTTTGTTGAAGGAGTCGATCAATACTAATATCAATTATTATGGTTTATTGACATACATAACCTTTTAGCTTAGGTTGTAGGGGAGAGTGGGGTTAGTTGAGCCACCCCTTGTTGCTAGGAAATGGTAAAAAATATTGATCATGTGACCAAATATTTAGGAGGAAGGCTTCATTTCATGGAGTCTGTGAATGTAAGAACCACATGGGTAAAGTGGTTAGATATTTATTTCCAAAAAATAATTTTTCACTCTTGAAAGTGAATTAAGTCTATCATAAGTTTCATGAGAATTGTGTTTAGACCAAAATAGATCATTTTAAATTTGTTTACGGCTCAACTTACCCCATACACTGGGTAAGTTGAGCCATGAGACCACTTTTTTTGGACATGCTATATTATGGAAACAGTTATGTTTACACTCATTCTGTTTGTTGGAAGGGATGCACAACATCCTGAAATATATGCAGATATATTAGTTAGTGACAAAACTATGATTGCCTTGATGTAGTGATCCTAAATATGAAAAATGACTCATCTTACCCCACTCTCCCCTACAGATTTTAGGGACATAAAAATGAGCATCTCTCAAAAACTAAAAAATGTTCTTAGTTCACATAACCTATGGAGGTAAAGAAATATTTTGTTCATGTTTCTACAATTAGAAATATTGTGGATCAATATGTTTTGTGTGTTTATTTAGTAAAATTTGATGAAAAAAGGATTTTTGTATTTGTAGACACTGGCGGACCGTTTCTATTGCAGAGTTTAAAGGGTTAATGACTCCTGATGACGCAGACTGGAGACTGGTGGTGACCTTACACTGACTGACTGCTTCAGGTAAGAACTGGTTCCTCAGGAGTTTTTAGGAATCCCAGAAACTGTTCCACCATCAGCGATAGCTTCCTGTCTGTGTCTGTCTGTGACACAACCTCCTGTTTCATTAGGTGTGTGTGTGTGTGTGTGTGTGTGTGTGTGTGCGTGCGTGCGTGCGTGCGTGCGTGCGTGCGTGCGTGCGTGCGTGCGTGCGTGGGGGGGTCTTACTGAAGGCCGTAGCCATGGCCGGGTGCTCCATGGTGGGCTGGCTGTCTCCGGAGGGCAGGTCTGGTCTGGTGAAGTCGCGGCTCTTCTCGTTGTTGTATTTGACGTTGAGGCTGGTGAGTTTGGAGAAGCTGATCCTCAGAGTGCAGCAGCCGTTATAGATGTTCTGTCCGTCCAGAGACTGAGACACACAGCAAGTTCACACAGTTAGCAACGCCGGTTAAATGCTGAACGGATGATGGAGTCTGTGTGTCGGCACTGGGACCAGCAGAGTGGGACTCTCACCAGTTTAGCTGCCTGGGCGGACGCTCCGTCCGGATACTGCAGCAGAGCCTGGAACTGGCTGTTCTTGGTGAAGACGATGATCCTCAGCACGGTGCCGAACTTTGAAAAGATCTAAGGACCAGACAGGAGCTCGACTTATCACAACATGTGTGAAACCCTCTCCCTGTCTTTATGTTGAGATTGATAGCACAGTAAATATGAAGCTACGCTCATTCTACCCACAAACAGAAACACAACCGACCATAGCATACAGTGGCTGGCTATGCTAACACTCACTAGCTGACCTACTCAAGTGCAGTTCGTCTTTTCACTCACGCAATAAACTGTGTCTGAGGCCCAAATTGTAGTTTTAAGCTCCTATTTTCTTCATTTTATGGCGGTTACTCCAGTGACTGTGTGTTGAGGTTACCTACACTCAATACTGCACCTGAACGCATCCTGTGTAAACACTGTGCTGCATTCAAAGTACAACCAACCTGATGATGTTTTCCATTCTCTGTGTTGTGTTGTGATGTGATGCTAAATGTACAGATGCTAACTTCGACTGGTGGGTGTTGGCGTTACCTGGCAGAGGGCGTCCAGGGAGACGGGGTAGACCAGGTTCTCCACCACGACCCGCAGCACCGAGCTCGGGGCCGCCACAGTCGTGTCCACATGAGACGTGCTGAGGGCACGAAGAGCTGCCTGGGCCCTCTGAGGGAGGATGGAGGGATGAAGATGAACACATGCTAACAGTGACCAGGCAATGTACAGATACTAACTGTAGCTAACAGATACCAACAGTGGCTGGGAGCTACATAGTTGCTAATATAGGCTAAAAAACAGGAACTTGGCAACATAGAGACGCTAACATATGCTAACAGTCCTGACTGAGGTGTACCTCCTGGTTGGGGGAGTTGTCGGTCTTCAGCTCCTTGTGGTTGGAGAACTGGACGTAGACCGGGTGGTGCCTGATGATTGGCATCACTGTGGAGTAATAACCCACCATGTTCTGAGCCGCTTCCTCCGAGTTCATCTCCAAGAAGGCCTGAAGGGACACAGAGGACGGTTCAGTATAGGACCCAGAGGACGGTTCAGTATAGGACACAGAGGACACAGAGGACGGTTCAGTATAGGACCCAGAGGACACAGAGGACAGTTCAGTATAGGACACAGAGGACACAGAGGACAGTTCAGTATAGGACACAGAGGACGGTTCAGTATAGGACACAGAGGACCAGGGGGTTCAGTATAGGACACAGAGGACGGTTCAGTATAGGACACAAAGGGGACTGTTCAGTATAGGACACAGAGGACGGTTCAGTATAGGACACAGAGGACACAGAGGACGGTTCAGTACAGGACACAGAGGACGGTTCAGTATAGGACACAGAGGACACAGAGGACAGTTCAGTATAGGACACAGAGGACACAGAGGACGGTTCAGTATAGGACGGTTCAGTATAGGACACAGAGGACAGTTCAGTATAGGACACAGAGGACGGTTCAGTATAGGACACAGAGGACGGTTCAGTATAGGACACAGAGGACGGTTCAGTATAGGACACAGAGGACAGTTCAGTATAGGACACAGAGGACGGTTCAGTATAGGACACAGAGGACACAGAGGACGGTTCAGTATAGGACACAGAGGACGGTTCAGTATAGGACACAGAGGACAGTTCAGTATAGGACACAGAGGACACAGAGGACGGTTCAGTATAGGACACAGAGGACAGTTCAGTATAGGACACAGAGGACGGTTCAGTATAGGACACAGGACGGTTCAGTACAGGACACAGAGGACAGTTCAGTATAGGACACAGAGGACAGTTCAGTATAGGACACAGAGGACACAGAGGACGGTTCAGTATAGGACACAGAGGACAGTTCAGTATAGGACACAGAGGACACAGAGGACACAGAGGACGGTTCAGTATAGGACACAGAGGACGGTTCAGTACAGGACACAGAGGACACAGAGGACGGTTCAGTATAGGACACAGAGGACAGTTCAGTATAGGACACAGAGGACAGTTCAGTATAGGACACAGAGGACACAGAGGACGGTTCAGTATAGGACACAGAGGACAGTTCAGTATAGGACCCAGAGGACAGTTCAGTATAGGACACAGAGGACACAGAGGACGGTTCAGTATAGGACACAGAGGACAGTTCAGTATAGGACACAGAGGACGGTTCAGTACAGGACACAGAGGACAGTTCAGTATAGGACACAGAGGACGGTTCAGTATAGGACACAGAGGACAGTTTAGTATAGGACGGTTCAGTATAGGACACAGAGGACGGTTCAGTATAGGACACAGAGGACGGTTCAGTATAGGACACAGAGGACGGTTCAGTATAGGACACAGAGGACAGTTTAGTATAGGACACAGAGGACACAGAGGACAGTTCAGTATAGGACACAGAGGACAGTTCAGTATAGGACACAGAGGACACAGAGGACGGTTCAGTATAGGAGACAGAGGACGGTTCAGTATAGGACACAGAGGACGGTTCAGTATAGGACACAGAGGACGGTTCAGTATAGGACACAGAGGACACAGAGGACAGTTCAGTATAGGACACAGAGGACACAGAGGACGGTTCAGTATAGGACACAGAGGACGGTTCAGTATAGGACACAGAGGACGGTTCAGTATAGGACACAGAGGACGGTTCAGTATAGGACACAGAGGACAGTTTAGTATAGGACACAGAGGACGGTTCAGTATAGGACACAGAGGACAGTTCAGTATAGGACACAGAGGACGGTTCAGTATAGGACACAGAGGACGGTTCAGTACAGGACACAGAGGACGGTTCAGTACAGGACACAGAGGACGGTTCAGTATAGGACACAGAGGACAGTTCAGTATAGGACACAGAGGACGGTTCAGTATAGGACACAGAGGACGGTTCAGTATAGGACACAGAGGACGGTTCAGTATAGGACACAGAGGACAGTTCAGTATAGGACACAGAGGACGGTTCAGTATAGGACACAGAGGACAGTTTAGTATAGGACCCAGAGGACGGTTCAGTATAGGACCCAGAGGACGGTTCAGTATAGGACACAGAGGACGGTTCAGTATAGGACACAGAGGACGGTTCAGTACAGGACACAGAGGACGGTTCAGTATAGGACACAGAGGACAGTTCAGTATAGGACACAGAGGACACAGAGGACGGTTCAGTATAGGACACAGAGGACACAGAGGACGGTTCAGTATAGGACACAGAGGACAGTTCAGTATAGGACACAGAGGACGGTTCAGTATAGGACACAGAGGACAGTTCAGTATAGGACACAGAGGACAGTTCAGTATAGGACACAGAGGACACAGAGGACGGTTCAGTATAGGACACAGAGGACAGTTCAGTATAGGACACAGAGGACAGTTCAGTATAGGACACAGAGGACGGTTCAGTATAGGACACAGAGGACGGTTCAGTATAGGACACAGAGGACGGTTCAGTATAGGACACAGAGGACACAGAGGACGGTTCAGTATAGGACACAGAGGACGGTTCAGTATAGGACACAGAGGACAGTTCAGTATAGGACACAGAGGACAGTTCAGTATAGGTAACAGTACCTGGTTCTTGGCTTTGAGCATCAACAGGTTGGTGACGTCTCCGAAGGGCAGACCGAGGCTGATCACCTCGGTCTCTGTGATGTCGTTGGGAAGCTTGCGGATGTGGATGACCCTGGAGGGCACGCCGGGACCTCTTATGTCACCTTTGAACTTCTTACTGTCGTTGCCATTGGCTACGGAGGACAGGAAACAGTTTACAACCACAGAGATACATATAGTCCTGATATTCACGTTATCAATAACGATAAAAATAATAACGAACAAACCCAGCAAGCAGTACGTCTGTGGGCGGGGCCTAACCCAGCGACAGTACGTCTGTGGGCGGGGCCTAACCCAGCGACAGTACGTCTGTGGGCGGGGCCTAACCCAGCAAGCAGTACGTCTGTGGGCGGGGCCTAACCCAGCGACAGTACGTCTGTGGGCGGGGCCTAACCCAGCGACAGTACGTCTGTGGGCGGGGCCTAACCCAGCATACAGTTTAAGGTTACGATAGATTCAGAATATTATATATGTGATATCCCTCAATGCTCCTTTCAAAGCCCCCACACAGTCAATTTACCTCCAGTGGAGCTCTGAGTCTATCTGGGATCATTATTAGTTTGACAGTATTTATTTATTTTAAGTAGAAATTCGGGCTCGTTGTTCGGGCTCGTACAGAACATTTCGGGCTCATGGAGATTTTTTGGGCCCAATCAGCTCTAATTCCAGGACTCAGTATTTCTTTATCTTTTTAAAAGAGCTAAATCTAACAAATAATACTCCTGACATTAAAACATCAAAAATCCTTTCACTCGTTCATCCTGCTGCGGCCAATAAGAACAACAATAAGAGCAACATTAACATATTTCTGACCTGTGGTGCTCATGATATACGGGCCGTTGGAGACGCTGGAGAAAAGCTCGTCAGATCCTCTCTGAAACAGAAACCAATTAGGTTAACCTCCACTGGCAGTTGGCCACACACAGACACACACACACAGACACACACACACACACACAGACACACACACACACTTAGTAAACCAGCAGTCAGGAAACAAAGAGGACAAGTGACAGGAAATGAGTTCAGCTGTATCACAGATTATTATTATATTTTAGAATTATAAACTCTGAATTATTTGTTATTAATCTATATAAACTTTGTCTGTTTGGTCAGAAAAGAGTGAAAATGTTCTCAGAGCTGATTTCATTTATTATCATAGAGACAAACTAAAGCACATTTCAGAGGCTCGAACCAGAAACGTTTTAGACATTTTAGTTTGAAAAATTATTTCAAAAGAATAAATGATTGTCCAGGTCTCTCCCACCAATGGTCTTGTGAACTGTGACCCACTGATGACCCTTAGTGTCTGTCTCAGGACCATATACAATTCCTACCCCTCCTAAAACATTGTTCTCCCACATTATCATCAGAACTGTCCATTAATGAATCAGTTAATTGATCTGTTTCAGTCTACTGCCACCAGAGGTCACTACAGAGCTGCGTTCACTGAGAGCTGCTGTAATGCAGATTTATCTCAAATCATAATAATAATAAATATGATAATAATAATAATAACTTTATTTACATACACATAAAACAGCAGCAATAAAAAATAACAGTAATATAAGAGGTAAACAACCAGGAACACAACAATCAGAGATATAATGAACAACAGATTGTGTGAAAACAAATATTCTGAAAGTGTGTTTCTAGAAGGATTTAAAAGATTATTTGACAAGGTTAATTTGGTCCAGTTGCCCTAATGGAGACCGCAGTCTCCTTAAGTCCTGATCCTGGACTGTGGAGCCACCAGAAGGGTTTCCTGAGGATCTGAGGCTCATAAAGAGTTCAGAGGTTAAATAAAAGTGGTCTAAAGTTATCAGCAGGACCTTAGAATCAACCCCAGCTCTTACTGGTACAGTCAATATCACAGACCACAAATCCTTACAAACATATCCAGTGAGTTTACATGTCTAATGTGTGATTTCTATAATCTAAATTTACTGTTTATTTCATAAATTAAAATGTTAAATTCAAGCTTAATACATTTCTAAAATTATGGAAAATAATGTATGGCTGATTATTTGTATTATAGCAGTGTTTGCCTGTATTTATAGCTTATTGTTTTATTTTATGTTAAATTAAAGCTACAAACTGTATTTTAAAGACAGTAAATTACTGGATTTGTACCAGTCTGTAATTCTACAGTATTGTTGTTGTTTGGTTATTATCTTATTTTTTACAGTGCAGGTCTAACATAATCCAGTGTGCGACCCTCAGCCCCCCCCCGGCCCCCAGCAGGCAGCCGGGGGGGAATTCCTGAGCTGCTCAATGAGAACCAGATGTAGACAAACAGGCTGAGCTTCATTCAGCAGTCCTACAGAGAGAGACTGCAACACTCCTCACTCATCCCTACAATAATACTGATCAATAGCTGTTACTGATCAATAGCTGTTACTGATCAACGGCTGCAACCAACACACGGCCTTTCCTGTCAGAGTTTCACAATGAAAGTCTCCTGCTGGTTGACTCCAGTGTGTAACAGTGAGGAGGATCAATTATTAATATCTATAGATTCATTAGAGGATAATCACCTGAACTGATACCATTTATTGATACCAATACCACTATTGACTCCTATAAACTCAGAGGTCATTGCTCCACTGTCTTCCTGTCTGTTGTTGTTGATGTTTCTATATATCTGTATATGGACATTGTATGTGTGCACATACCTGATCAATAACAGTGATTCAGTGCACGCTGTGTCCATATATTAAATGACTGAACAGGTTAAAGAATATCTGTTTAAGGAAACAGCCAGTCAGCAGCGGCCATATTGGTAATCAGTGAATGTTTCCCTCTGAAGTCGGTCAGACTCACTTCCTGCTGGTGTTTCACATTAAAGGTCTTCCAGTGGCTCAGAGGGCACAGACTTTAAATGTGAAACATCTGCAGGAAGTTAACGTATGATATCGCAGTACTCAATCATGTAGTACATCAATCATCAGTCCATCAATCAATCCATCAATCATCAGTCCATCAATCAATCCATCAATCATCAGTCCATCAATCAATCCATCAATCATCAGTCCATCAATCAATCCATCAATCATCAGTCCATCAATCAATCCATCAATCATCAGTCCATCAATCAATCCGTCCATCAATCATCAGTCCATCAATCAATCCATCAATCATCAGTCCATCAATCAATCCGTCCATCAATCATCAGTCCATCAAACCCCAAACCTCAGTCCATCAATCCGTCCATTAATCATCAGTCCATCAATCAATCCGTCCATCAATCAATCCGTCCATCAATCAATCCGTCCATCAATCATTAGTCCATCAATCATTAGTCCATCAATCAGATACATTTTTAAATAATTTCATTTTTCAAGCTAAAGTACCAAATATTTGTTTGTTCCAGCTTCTAAAATGTGATTTTTCTTCTTCTTCTATCCTATTTAAGTAAAGATGTTAGCGTGTTTGACGTGGTCAGATAAATACTGAGAGCGTTAACGGCGTTACAGTGAGTCTGAGAGCATTAACGTTAACGGCGTTACAGTGAGTCTGAGAGCGTTAACATTAACGGCGTTACAGTGAGTCTGAGAGCATTAACGTTAACGGCGTTACAGTGAGTCTGAGAGCGTTCACGTTAACGGCGTTTCAGTGAGTCTGAGAGCGTTAACATTAACGGCGTTACAGTGAGTCTGAGAGCGTTAACGGCGTTACAGTGAGTCTGAGAGCGTTAACGTTAACGGCGTTACAGTGAGTCTGAGAGCGTTAACGTTAACGGCGTTACAGTGAGTCTGAGAGCGTTAACGGCGTTACAGTGAGTCTGAGAGCGTTAACGGCGTTACAGTGAGTCTGAGAGCGTTAACGGCGTTACAGTGAGTCTGAGAACGTTAACGGCGTTACAGTGAGTCTGAGAACGTTAACGGCGTTACAGTGAGTCTGAGAACGTTAACGGCGTTACAGTGAGTCTGAGAACACTAACGTGAGTCTGAGAACGTTAACGGCGTTACAGTGAGTCTGAGAACGTTAACGTGAGTCTGAGAACGTTAACGTGAGTCTGAGAACGTTAACGGCGTTAGTGAGTCTGAGAACGTTAACGTGAGTCTGAGAACGTTAACGGCGTTACAGTGAGTCTGAGAGCGTTAACGGCGTTACAGTGAGTCTGAGAGCGTTAACGGCGTTACAGTGAGTCTGAGAACACTAACATTAACGGTGTTACAGTGAGTCTGAGAACGTTAACGGCGTTACAGTGAGTCTGAGAACACTAACGGCGTTACAGTGAGTCTGAGAACACTAACGGCGTTACAGTGAGTCTGAGAACACTAACGGCGTTACAGTGAGTCTGAGAGCGTTAACATCAACGGCGTTACAGTGAGTCTGAGAACGTTAACATTAACGGCGTTACAGTGAGTCTGAGAACGTTAACATTAACGGCGTTACAGTGAGTCTGAGAACGCTAACATTAACGGCGTTACAGTGAGTCTGAGAACGTTAACATTAACGGCGTTACAGTGAGTCTGAGAACGTTAACATTAACGGCGTTACAGTGAGTCTGAGAACGTTAACATTAACGGCGTTACAGTGAGTCTGAGAACGTTAACGGCGTTACAGTGAGTCTGAGAACACTAACATTAACGGCGTTAGTGAGTCTGAGACACTAACGGCGTTACAGTGAGATTGAGAACATTACGGCGTTACAGTGAGTCTGAGAACGTTAACGGCGTTACAGTGAGTCTGAGAACACTAACGGCGTTACAGTGAGATTGAGAACATTAACGGCGTTACAGTGAGTCTGAGAACGTTAACGGCGTTACAGTGAGTCTGAGAACATTAACGGCGTTACAGTGAGTCTGAGAACATTAACGGCGTTACAGTGAGTCTGAGAGCTGCCACAGTCTCTCTCCGAGGAACCTGAGCAGGTTTTTATCCGAACAAAAGGAGCTCAGATCTTCTTTCTGCTCCTCTCATGAATAATAGAGCAGAAACCTGAATCCTGCTCTCCTCTGGACCGGTCCCTGCTGTCTGACAGCTGCTGACCCAGAGTCTGCCTCAGGCCCAGGACCAGGACAAAGGGCCCACAGAAACTGAACCACCACACCTCACATCATCACTGACAATCTGCTCTTCATCATCAATAAGGCTGAAACCATTGTTTTCATTGATTCATCTATTGAATTTATTTTCGGTTTTGATCGATCACTTGTTTGGAGCCTGAGCTAACGTCCCCAAATGTCTCGTTTTGTCCACAACCCAAAGATATTCAGTTTACTGACAGAGAAACTGACACCAGAAAATCTTCAAAAATCAATTAATTGATTATCAAAGAGTTGTTGACCGTACAGCTCGCCAACCTGTTAGAGTCCATCTGTCTGTCTCCATATGAATGTAGGATTAGTAATTGTTTAAATTCTCGTTTGTCCATTTTTCTTTAGTTTTTTAGTAGCATAAAGGGAACTGTTTCCACATTTCACTGTGCAGCCCTGTAAGGGACGATACCATTCATGTCTCCATTAGCTAAAATAACCACTGGACCACCGGGCCAGCCACTGGACCACCGGGCCGCCACGGACCACTGATCAACCCCAGATAAAGGAGGAATGAATAATGAGGGTTGTTCGCTGTAGCGCATTCTTTCCAGGAAATGTCTCAGGAATAATTGATCAGCTGAGGAAACCAGCAGCACTCGGTCCATTTAGCAGCTGTCCTGGAGCTTTTGATCGATCTTCCTCTGCAGACAGAGCTCTTCGCAGAATTCACAGTCGTTCAAATTAACATCTTTTCTGAGCATGTGAAGGACTTTTCATCTCATCACGTTCGAATCCTTCTGAGGAAGAACCAGTGATGGGACTGAAAGCTCCAACACAGCCATTAACAGACCATGTGGACCTTGTGGTGAGGAAGTAAAACGAAGTGTGTCTGAATGCGGTTGCACCCGTCTGTCCCCTTTCTTCTTCTGCACACCAAACAGTGACTTCCTGTTTCAACAGGAAACACATCAGACTGAGGAAGTATAGAAACCCCTTCATGGGACCTTTAAATTCACACTTTTAACCAACATCCAGCCTGTAAGTCCAGTCACAAAAACCCCACCTGATAGAACCAGAACCAGAACAGCCTCTGGTGGTCTCAGACCTGCTGGTTTTTATCTAAAGTAGTTTCTGGGTGCTCAGGAGAAAACCCTGAACTGACCCTTTAACGGGAGCCGGTCTGAGCGTTCAGGGTGGTTTCAGATGACTCGCCTGAGGTCAGAGGAGGAAACAGGAGAGCTGTGATCATCAGAGGGACTCCTCCTCCTCCTCCTCCTCCTCCTCCTCCTCCTCCTCCTCCTCCTCCTCCTGTCACTTCCTGCTCTCAGATCACAGCCTCTCTCTGCCTTCATGTGGTTTGGCTCAGATTCTGGTTTTTGTCCTAAAACCGGCAGCAGCAGCGGTCACCACTCTGCTGCCGGACGCATACCGAACACGATTACTGAGGAGAGAGCAGAGGAATGTGAGCAAAGGCTGCTGGGAGATCAGACACTGATATATTATTGTAAAGAGTTTCATACTCTCAGGTCACTTTGAGTGACAGCAGCAGTAATACTGCAGGAGAGCCAGGAGGACCACAGTAAGCTCACAATGAGACACCAACAGGTAGTCTCTCTCCTCCGTTACTTCCCCTCAGTAATAATTACATTCACATTTGAATCCCATCCTTTTGTCTTAAAGCTCCAGTGTGTAACATTACTGTAATATTCACAGGTATAATACCAGTTACATTAATAAACTGTTCATCTTTCTCACAGATCATAAATGACTCTTATTTGTTTTTTGTTAGCAGGGTTTTTGTTGCACTTGCAGTGGCATTGTGAGTGTGTGGCTCTCCACCGCTGTCTGTATCTCCTCCGAGCTCAGACAGACAGCAGAGAGAGCAGAAAGCTTCAGAGTAGAGCTGGGCGATATGCCTTAAAAATAAAATCTCTGATTTTTTCACACCAAACCCGATTTACGATTTTAATCGATTTTTTAGTTTTGACTGTTTTTTAGCGGGTGTTTGTGGGCGGCGGTCCTGTATATCCCACAAAGAGCAACATTTCTCCCACTCGGCTGCATGCCTCTGCTTGAGTTGATCGCAAGGGTCGTTAATTAAATTAAAGCTTCAACAGTTTTAAATCAGTCTGTGATACATTCATGGGTTTGGCTGATACATCAATCGAATACCAGAAATACTCAGGAAGTCACACAGTGTAAATGCCCCTTTCACAATAAAAGAGTTCAGAGCTGGCGTTATTCTGTTACAGGAAGTGAACAGCTGACATTCCCGCTGGGTTTCCCAACAACACAACATGTCCGACACCAGAGTCTCTCCACAGAACCTCATTTAAATGAAACCCACAGAAACAACCGGTAACGCAGAGTAACGCCTGCAGCTCTGAAAGTTTCACACAACAAATGGTGGAAATTAAATTTGATTGTGTTCGGTCCCGGGTCCGGCTGTGTTCAATGGAAAGTCGACACTGACGTTAGCTCATAGCGCTAGCTGCTGTTGGACAGGTCCCTCTCTACAGGAAACACAAACACTCTACTTCCTGTTTGATGGAGACTCCCTTCCATAGAATCACAGTTACTCTGACAATGTGCTTTATTGTATGTATGCATTTTTATATGTCTTATTGATTATAGCAGAGCAGATCAATATCTGTTGACTTTCAGTTAGTCAGAATATTCCCGTTAAAGAAGCTGGAAGCAGAGGATGAAGGACTTTATCAGCTGACTCATTAATGGACTCTGTAGTGAAGCTGTACGCTGCGCTCTTTCAGCAGCCGACTCAAAGCTCTGGTGTCAGACAGTCCTTGAACGCATCAACAGAGGATTTTAACATCTTTTAACAGAAACTCTCAAACTCTCTGTGAGTAAAGAAATAAAGTGACGTTTGTGAGGCAGCAGGAGGGATTCTGGATGAGCTGAATGATGGAAATCAGTGGTATGCTCCTTTAAGAAAGTAATAAGCGTGTTGTTGACTAATCTGATGATCCTCAGACTCATTGTGGAATGTGACTGAATTACTGCAGAGTTTACGACACTGAGCCGCTTCCACGCTAATTACACACAAAACCTCTGAATGGTTCCCAGACGGCAGCGTGTCCGTGCTGTCGGACTCAGAGCGGAAAGCAAACGGCCTGAGAGACGTTCACCGCAGAAAACAAACCAAGCAGAGCAGGAGGAGGCGGAGGAGGAGGAGGAGGAGGGGGAAGGAGGAAGCAGAGGTGCCTACCTTAGTACCAACTGTTATATCTTGGTGGACACTGCTGTGAAGAAAAGACAGCGTGTTAGAAGCAGCAGGGAGAGAAACTCAAAACAACAAGCAAAAAAAGTTAAAATGGAGGCAGAGGAGACGCCGCCTGAGGAGGCGCCGCCTGAGGAGACGGACGGAGGGGAAGAAACCCAGCAGAGAGGAGAGAGACTGGATCTGCTGATTATCGACCTGCGCCCACTAACTTCTGTTCAAACCAGTTCACTGTCATCACATAAAGTCTGAGGGTGGCGTGCGGAGGCGGGGCCTAAAGCTTCACGTGTTTCCATGGCGATTAAGAGATATTTGCAGCGTATACAGCGTATAGAGGGGTTAGCGGCCGACTGTTGCTCTGTGATAAATATCCTCACTGATGACAGAGTTTATACACAGTCGTATCCTGTAGTAACACTTTACTGCTGTCCTACATTGAACTGTGTTTATACATTTATTTTACTTCATACGTACTAATGGAGACACTGAACTTAGTTTGAAGGTGATCTCCTGGAAAAAGGTGACAGTGCTAACGAAAGCATTACATACTGAACACCTGAACACCTGATCACCTGAACACCTGAACAGTCTCTGCAGGAGACCGACCAGAGCTGCAGCTACAAATACTCTTATTATATTTAATATTATTAAAACTAGAATAATATCTTCAAACTGATCATATAGCTACAAATATACAGAATACACTGTATCTATTGATTATTGATCAGTATACACTGTATCTTTATGGATGATATTGATCAGTATACACTGTATCTTTATGGATGATATTGATCAGTATACACTGTATCTTTATGGATGATATTGATCAGAATACACTGTATCTATTGATTATTGATCAGTATACACTGTATCTTTATGGATGATATTGATCAGGATACACTGTATCTGTATGGATATATTAATGACTCCTAATGAAAGAGATATTTAGCTGAAAGTGTCAGTTAACAGAGTTACAGATCCAGAAGCAGGAGGAGGAAGAGTGCAGGTGATTAGAGATCAAACATTATCCCACTGTACAAAGTAATGAGCACAAACACAAACCGACAGAAACAGCAGTAATACTGCGCTGCTGAGCCCCCATAAAGAAACGGCCTTAGACAACATATGTGATTAAATGCAGGTAAAGCAGAGACATGTCCAACAGCACAGCGACACATATCCCCACTTCCTGTGCAGACAGGAAGTTAAAGGACAAAATAATACAGCTGGTCGTCCGGGGGAGGAAATAGTTTCCTTCAAAGATCGGTTCGTATTCTTGTTCACATCCCATCCAGTATTTAGACAATGTGCACTATAACATATGTCTACATATATTCATTTGTCTTTCACTTCATCATTAATAATGTGTTAATGTGTTGGGTGCTTTAATATATATTATTCATTCCTTCTATTGTACATTTGCCTGCAGACAAACTAAAATACTCTCACAACTACACTATTAATTATTAGTGTGTCCCAACTGGATGTGGGATCTATTTGTTGTATAATTAGTATTTTCTAGATAATACAGGCCAGTACAAATGAGCAGGTGAAGTCCTCAATCTGTTCATGTACATATATGTGTCAGAAGCACAGAGCTGGTTTACAGCAAATGAAAAACCGGCTGGTCGGGTTGAAGCTGATGTGACTGTACAGACAGTAAACCAGCTGGAAGAGGACCCCTCAGGGCCTGAATGAGCCCTGACAAAGCACAAATATTCACATCAGGGACTCAAACGCCTCAACGTCTCCTGACTGCACATGACCTGACACTTATTATATTCAACAGTTAAAAAGGTACAGTGAACACAACCTTACTGTGCTAAAACAACTGCAAGTCAACACATACGTCAACAACACTGTAATCAATAGAAAACAAACATGTCAGTTTCTCACTGTTAGTTTTACCTTTGATAACATCAGCTGGAAGCTTCCAGCTGCAGGCTGGCTCAGGTTTCCTCTCTTTAACTCACTGAGTTCAATATAGAGCCTGTACCTGCTATACAACACAACTATTTAATCTGTATAATGTGTAAACTATATTCAGCTTATACGAAAGCATCCAATCTAATTCACTCTGTTTAACAACATCTGAGCACCAGTTCTGTCCCACTAACAACGTTGTGCATTAGTCCATAAAAAAACCTTTAATGTTAAAGAATTCTTCCTAATCCTTAAAATCACAAACACATGAGAACATGTCTCTGAACTTAAAACTAATGAACTGGAACAACTCTTCAATTCGGCACACATGTAACACACGATGCTGCATTAGCTTAAATAAAATCTGCATTTAATAAGTGAGAACTTGAAGTTATAGCTACAATCAGCTTCAATGGAGGCCTGCAGTGTGAATTACAGTTTCACATTACCTGAGCACCGGTTACTTCCGCCCACCTTTAACGACTCACCTGAGAGCTTTCACTAATTCATTAATTCATTAATTCATCAATTCATTAATTCATCAATTCATCAATTCATTAATTCAGCACACGAACCAACATCCATTTAATAAAAGTAAACTTTTACCAGAGCAGGAAACCACAGCACAGTGGGCGTGAGAACAACATAAAGCTGGGCTGGAAGTCAGCTTATAGCTTATTGATTCTCTTCACAACAATTATATCGATTACATCTTAAATACAAGCCTATACGGTTAAAAGAAAGTCGTTTTCACAGGTAAACGAGTCCCCGTTAAATGGCCGGTTTTATAAATGGAGTCTGGTGTAGAGCCCGCAGACAACGGCCCGTTCGGAGGCTACCGCTAGCTCAGTTAGCTTAGCTTCCTGTTCCAACCACAAACACAAGTTTACCGACAGCTGAGCGAACAACGGGAACAACAGCGGCTCTCTGGAGGAACACTGCCGGGCCACACGCTCCAGCGGTTCCTCTCAGGCGTCAGTAAAACAGCCACAAAGTCTATTTAATGTCAGTGTACCCGTAAGTCTGTGGGATAACTCACCCGTCCATTGCACAACACGGAACTACGGAGCAACAGGTTCCAGCCAGCAGGACGCCCAACCGCCGCCGCTATAAGCCCACAAAATGGCGTCCGGCCCGAGGAGCTCTCTCATTGGACGGTTGGCAGACATTGTGGGCGTTCCAGACGGTATCCGGGCGCTGATTGGCTGATTGGATGGGGGCGCAACAACAAAGAGCCGAGGGTCCGGGGGGCGGGGCGGGGGGGGGGTACCGCGTTTTTATGTCTTTACTTTTTTACTTTATTAAAAAACAAAAGATTTGCAGATTTGAAGGTTTTCAGATTATTTTGAACAAAGAAAAAGTTAAAATTTAAAACAAACACAAGACGGGGAAATATTAAAGACTTTACATACACTGTAAAAACTGTTTATGGGATTTCCCCCTTTTATTTTACAGAGTTTTTAAATAGAATAAATAAAAATACAGTTCATTTCTGAAGTGTAAGAAAGTGTAAAATAACCTCTGCATCCTGTGCATCACTACTGACCTCCGCCCAGGGACTACAGAGGAAAATATATATAGCTATATCTGGTGCAATACATGTATTCTGCATTGTCCCTGCTAAATAAATAATAAGTAAATAAACTTTCATGTTATGGTTCAACCAATGTGAGTTTGGAAGAGTTTTCGATCTGAGCTCTAATAATAATATTTATTGAGGTTTTATTGAACAAAGTGAGGCTCTTTCCATAATCAGGCAGATACAACACAATAACTGTTCAGTTATGTGTCTTTCATTTAAGTTATTTTATTATCTTTTTCCGGTTCGCCCTTAACGACAGGACATCACAGAACAGCTGCAGGCATGGGCACTGGAAGTCGGGGCTCTGAGGGGGCCGCAGCACCCCCCAAAATCTGGCATAAACTTATACTTACTTTTTTACTGGGATTTACATGTGCACACAGGTAGTTATTTAAACATTTTATTGGCTAAAAAGTCATAATAAAATGTGTAAACTGTTGCTAATAACTGTAAAATAGACGAACTATCCCGGCCACATTCAAATGAATGGAAAAACCATGAATGTCTGCAGCACTTATGTCATTATATAGACAGAATTCCTCTCAGCAACCCTTCTGCAGGTAAATAAAGCAGCAAACAATTATACAACATGGCCAAAACTATAGAAACAAGAACAGTGTGTAAGTAGCACAGTGTAACAGCTAACAACAATAAAAGAAGAATGTGTTAGCTGTTGATTTATTGCTTTACCAAAACCTGACAACTTTACTCTCTTGTGCAATGAGACGCAACAATGAAAGGACTCTTGTGCCCTCGAGTACACTGTTGTTTCCTGAAGACCACATCAGTCAGAAGTGGTCCTTTAGGTTGGGGTTGTTAGCAGCAGGTTGCTGATGCTGAGAATTGAACCTGTGACTGCTCGGGGACAGTGCAGCCTGTAGCCTATGTTTCTGTGTGCTGGACTCAGTGTCGTGTAACACGCTGATAAATAATTCCTCCATGTGCTGCTTTTCAGGTGATTGCTTTGTGTGTTGGGAAGATAATCCAGCTGCTCACATGAATAATTCAACACACACACTCACTCATTCACAACTAACTCACACTGTGAAAAACCGTCTGTCATTTCCAGCAGCTGAGGCACCAAAACATACCGTAAAATAAATAGTAAAAATAACTGACTCAAAAATCATTTCATGTTATTTTCTATAATTCAAATACAGTTATCAGCTTTAATTTTTAGCTTTTTGTCTTTTTAATGTTTAATTAAAGATATTTAAACTGTAAAAACAATGAAATTACCAATAAATACAGACAAACACTGCTATAATACATATCTATATAATATACAACTACAATTAAATTTACAGCAGAGTGCTGTTATTATTTGATGTTTTCTTGTTTTAATCTACATTTTAAAGTTATAGGATTATAATAAAAGTCCTTATCTGTGAAGTTAGAGTAATTATTGTTGATAAAAACTGTGAAGTTAGAGTAATTATTGTTGATAAAACTGTGAAGTTAGAGTAATTATTGTTGATAAAACTGTGAAGTTAGAGTAATTATTGTTGATAAAACTGTGAAGTTAGAGTAATTATTGTTGATAAAACTGTGAAGTTAGAGTAATTATTGTTGATAAAACTGTAAAGTTAGAGTAATTATTGTTGATAAAACTGTGAAGTTAGAGTAATTATTGTTGATAAAACTGTGAAGTTAGAGTAATTATTGTTGATAAAACTGTTTTCTGACAGTTAACCAACGATATAAATATAGTTTATAACTCACACGCTGCCCTGTGGGGGCGCTGTTCTAACCCCAACCCTGGCGACACAAGAAGCACCAGAAGAAGACAGGGAACGAAGCGATTGGTCAGAATGACACCGGAAGCGCTTGCTATTGGCTGGTTGAGTTGCCCCGCCAGTGGAGAAGAAGCGGCGCCATTATTAAACTGCGTTCAGCGTTTGTTCCCGGCGGACTGTTTGTGGCTGAATTAGTGTCAGTTAGCTTCAGAGAAACCAAAGTAAAGTCGTTTTCACAAAGTTCGTTACTTCACTGAACGTTCAGTTTAACGGACTTCGTCCGGTACGCGGAGCTAACGGAGCTAACGAAGCTAACAGAGGGAGCTAACGCGGCTAACGTTAGCGGAACTCAGCGCGGTGTTTCCCGCGGTCGGTGGCCGCTCGCAGCTCCACTCTGTCGGCCGCTGCACGGATGAGCTGCCCGGTGAAGCTCCAGGCGCTGCCGTCCGCAGTGTTTGAGACAGTTTTTACTCCGGACAATGTGAGAGGAAGGTGAGTTCATGTTCAGGTAACAACACCTGCTGGTGCACCTGTAAACACTACAACAACAACAACAACAACAATAATATAATAATAATAACAACACCTGCTGGTGCACCTGTAAACACTACAACAACAACAACAACAACAACAACAATATAACACACCTGCTGGTGCACCTGTAAACACTACAACAACAACAACAACAACAACAACAATAATATAATAATAATAACAACACCTGCTGGTGCACCTGTAAACACTACAACAACAACAACAACAACAACAACAATAATATAATAATAATAACAACACCTGCTGGTGCACCGTAAAAACAAAAAAAAAAAAATATAAATAAGGTGCACCTGTAAACACTACAACAACAACAACAACAATAATATAATAATAATAACAACACCTGCTGGTGCACCTGTAAACACTACAACAACAACAACAATAATATAATAATAATAATAATAATATAATAATAATAATAACAACACCTGCTGGTGCACCTGCACATTAACGTTAACGGAGAGTGTGAAAACAGCCAGTATCTGTCAGTACTGCAGCTCTGTAAACACAACAACAACAACAATAAACACCATAATTATAATAAACACAATAATAATAATAATAAACACTATTATAATAATAACAATAATAAACACTATAATAATAAACACTATAATAACAACAATAAACACTAAATAATAATAAAAACACTATAATAATAATAATAACAATAATAAACACTATAATAACAATAATAAACACTATAATAACAACAATAAACACTAAATAATAATAAATACACTATAATAATAATAATAACAATAATAAACACTATAATAATAACAATAATAAACACTATAATAATAATAACAATAATAAACACTATAATAACAATAATAAACACTATAATAATAACAATAATAAACACTATAATAATAACAATAATAAACACTATAATAATAACAATAATAAACACTATAATAATAATAATAATAAACACTATAATAATAATAACAATAATAAACACTATAATAATAACAATAATAATAATAATGATGCACTGTGTTCAGACAGACAGACAGATGTGTATATGAAATGGAAATAAAAATATAAACTGTGTGGAAACAATGATCTGTTGTAGGAATATAAAGATATTTAAATATTATGGTACACAGTTTATATCTCAATATCTCATCATTTTATAAAGTCGTCATCAATTATCTGAACTCGTCAGTTGAGTTTATGGTTACGTCTCTAGTCTGTTGATCAATGAGTGGATGGTTAGAAGAACTCAGCACTGGGACTATCTGAACTATCTGAATCCATCATATCTCCCACCAGGAATACACAGATATTATGGGATGTTATGGGATATTATGTGTCAATAACAGGAACTGAAACTACATGAACTGAGTAAATCATCCATCAGCTCAGGAACAGGTTTAAATCCTCTGTCAGTTACCATCAGCATCTCCAACAGGTTCTGTCACCGAAGCACCGAACTGTTGGTGGGTTTATTCGTATGTCTCTCTCTGTGTTACTGTTGCTGTAAGTTGAGCAGTGTTAGAGGAATTATTCCATCAATCAGTGAAGTCATTGTTGAACTCAAACATTCCTCGTCCACATTTAGCATTGTGAGAATTTACTGCTTTATGGTCTGTTTTACTCTAAATGGGACCATCAGTTACTAAATGAACATCATGCTGTATGGAAGAAGACTGAAACTAGAGACTGAGACCAGAAACTCATCAGGAAACTGTTTACTGAGCTCATTCTCCATTAGAGTGAATGGGACCAGTTTATATAGCAGTCAGTGGAGTGCCCCCTGCTGGTTGTTACACAGAATGCAGGTTTAACACACTGTCATTATAAACAGTGTCATTGGTCTGATGTGAAGATAAACTGAACATCTGATTGTATTGATGGTGTTTAGTTGTCGCTCCGGAGCTGGAAGGACTGTTTGTCCACGTTGTTTATCGGCTGAGATTCAGATACTTTATCTCTCCTTCAGAACCTCCATGAACTCTGTCAGTCCGCTGAGTTTCCCTAAATCCAGATCAGCTCTGTGGGATGGCAGCCCTGCAGGAGAGAGGCTCCGCCTCCAGCTCTGCTCTCACAGGTAAACACACACACCTGCAATAAAGTCTGCCATCTAACCACGTCTGCAGTGTTCAGGGTTCCTGCGCAGTCTCTTTTCTAAAATATAAAATTCATCATTTCTTAACATAAACTGATCATAAAAGCGGCTGCGTGACACAGCGAGACTTTTCTTCTTTTCTGTGTGTGTGTGTCTGTCTGTCTGTTTCTCACTCTCTGTCTGTCTCTCTGTGTGTGTGTGTGTCTCTCTCGCTCTGTCTGTCTGTCTGTCTGTCTGTCTGTCTGTCTGTCTGTAGGAAGCCTCGGTTGGTGCTGATGGAGAAAGCTCTGCGATTGGCTCAGCGTCAGGCCCGTCACAACAACAAGCCCCGCCTCCACTGCTTCTTCCTGGGCTCAGTGTCTGTGGACACAGGTCAGAGGTCACCTCATCCTCCTCACCGATTGGTCACTTTCACTTCTCGTATTAACTCCTGTCCTCTGTGTGCTGCTGCGGTCCAGATGAGGAGGGGGTCACTGTGACTCTGGACCGGTTCGATCCGGGTCGGGACCAGGCTGGAGCCTCGGGCCGGGTTCCCTCGGCTCTGCTGCCCGGAGACGTCCTGGTTCCCTGTTTGTTCTCCACGCAGAGCGAGACTGAGGCTGTCGTCCAATCAGAGGCTGAGATACATCACTGCTTCAAGGTGAGTCTGACACCTGCAGCTCCTGTCTGTCTGCGCGTCTGTCTGCGCTGTCTCTCTGTCACCCTGTCTGCGCTGTCTGTCTGTTTATCTGTCACCCTGTCTGTCACCCTGTCTGTCTGACTGTCTGTCACCCTGTAGAGGAGTCGTGTTACATTACTGCTGATGAACCTCCTGATTTTGCTGCTTCATAATAAAAGCTTTTAAATGACAAAATAACTTTTATTGTGAAGGATTTATAGGAACTGAATTAGCAGAGCTCAGTTACTCTGTGTGTTGTGTGTGTGTGTGTGTGTGTGTGTGTGTGTGTGTGTGTGTGTGTGTGTGCGTGCGCGTGTGTGCGTGTGATGTTATGTGCAGTTGCTCTGTTTTCCGTTGTCATGGCAACGTGTCATTTATGTCACCAACAGCTGATTTTTCTCAGCTCATCCAAAAGGTCCTGATGTTTTCTGTCCTCAACAACATGATGCTGATTAATTGTGCTGAATGTGCAGTTTGACTTAGAGGTTTAATTTAAATCTGCAGGTTTCCACATGTCCTGGAAAACCTGGAAAACCTGGAAGATTGATTATAATGAGCAAATATGGTGTAAATAATCAGTGCTGTCCTGGTAAATATTAATTCAGTCACTCAGTGAACCTGACTGTGTACAGTCTGAAACTGTTGGTGGATAAACTGTGACAGTGAACATATCTCCACACATATGGCCTGTTATTGATCAGCTATCTGTTGTAAATAGTTTAATCAATAATGTCAGTAAAAGGATCAATATATCAAATAATACAACAATAAAACTGAAGTGTCTCTCTCTGTCTCTTTCTGTCTCTCTCTCTCTGTGTCTGTCTCTCTCTCTCTCTCTCTCTCTCTCTCTCTCTCTCTCTCTGTATGATGTAACTCTGAACATATTGCCAAGCAAGCGTTTGGAATTAAAAATAATAACATTAAAGGAAAACAATATTTACAATAAATTAGTTATAATCTATACTGTTGGTAATACTGTAACTATGATTGACTCAATCACAATCACAGTCACAATCAATCTCAGTCAATAAGTAATTAATTACAATCAATCAATCAATCAATCAGTTTGTGTCAACTAAAAATGTCATTAAAACAATAGTAAAGTAACTACAGTTAAAACAAGTAGTCTGTTGTCAATATAACAGTAATAACAAATTATTAAATATTATATATAATAAAATATATTAAAATAAAATAGATAGATAAAACTGTAAACGTGTGTGTGTGTGTGTGGGTGTATATATATTAAAAAACAACAACTAAAACAATCAATTATTTTATACATTTATCTGAGTTTCCACTGGTTGTCCTCAGTTGGTGGCATGAGGAGACATATTTTGCTGCAATAATTTGACTTTCTGTGGGATGATTGTATCAGGATACGCTTATTCAATGGTATGACAACAGTCAGATCGGGTGCCCAGTAAATAGGGGAGTTTCTGTGTGTCTGATATAAATTAAAAATTGGGGAATATTGGGGAATATTTGGGAAATGTTTGCGAATTGTTTTTCTCTTAAAGTTTTGAATTTAGGGCATGAGGTTAGAAAGTGCAGCTCTGTCTCTACCTGTCCTCTGTCACACTGGGAGCAGAGTCTCTCCTCTTCTGGTAGCCAGTTCTGTCTGTGGCGACCCGTTTCTATGGCCAGGCTGTGTTCACTCAGTCTGTACATTGTCAACATTGTTCTTAGTTTAGGACATTTTATTGTGCTCAGGTAATTTGCCAGTGTGAATTCTCTTTTTAGGGTCAGATAACATTGTAATTTACTTTGTGTTTTGGTCGTTTCTTTCCAGTGTTCAATATATTTTTCTTTTTGCTTGTTGATAATTTGGTTTGGTCTGATTGAGTTGGTGTTGCTGTCCTGAGGCTGTTGGGGACATGTTACTGCAGAGAGCCTCAGGACCAGCTGGCTGAGGGGACTCTTCTCTGGTTTCAGCTCCTGGTATGTTAGGGCTTTGTGATGGTATGTCTGGGGGTTAACTGATTTTAAGTGATTGTAAAATGTAATTGATCTTTTCTGTATTTTTAGTAGGAGGGGGTATTGGTCGAGTTCTGCTCTTCACAGATTATTTGGTGTTTTTCTCTGCACCTGCAGGATGCTCTTACAGAACTCGCTGTGGAAAGATTCTATGATTGTTTTGTCCCATTTGTCAAATTCATTATTTAGTTTTGGTCCCCAAATTTCGCTGCCATGTAGAATTATTGGTTCTAGTACAAATTGGAAAATTTTAAGCCAGATTTGGATTGGAATATATATTTTAATGTTTCTCTTTATTGCATAGAAAGCTCTCCTTGCTTTGTCCCTCAGATCTTTCACAGCCATGTTGAGGTTTCCTGTGTATGTAATGTTGAGGCCAAGGTAAGTGTAGTTTTTTGTATGTTGTAAGTTAGTGGTGTCTAAATAGAAATTGTGTGTAACCTGATTTCTGTATTGTTTCTGAAAGATCATTATCTTAGTCTTTGCTGTGTTTACTGTCAGGGCCCAGGTCTGACAAAATCTCTGCAGGAGATTAAGGTGCTGCTGCAAACCTTCTTTAGTAGGTGAAAGCAACACTAAGTCATCTGCATATAGCAGACCTCTGATCTCTGTGTCGTTCAGGGTGAGGCCAGGTGCCTTGGAACGCTCTAGTTGGTTCGCTAATTCATTGATATATAGATTGAAGAGAATTGGACTGAGATTGCATCCCTGCCTGACTCCCCGGCCCTGGGAGAAGAACGCTGTTTGTTTGTTTCCAATCTTTACGGTAAATTCACTTTTTGTATACATGTTCTTAATCAGATCATATGTTTCTCCTCCAATGCCACTTTCAAGTAGCCTATAGAAAAGGCCCTCGTGCCAGATGGAATCAGGCTTTCTTGAAGTCAACGAAACATGCATATACCTTTCTTTTCTTAATTTTGAAAGTCTGGAGGGTAAATATATGGTCCAATATATGGCAGTTGGCAAGAAACCAATTTGGCATTTATGCAGAACATTGTGGTCATCAAGAAAGTTGACAAGTCGTTTGTTAATGATGTTGCAAAATATTTTTCCCAGGTTACTGGGTCACATATTCCTCTGTAGTTATTTGGATCATATTTATTTCCGGATTTATGAATTGGGGTTATTAAACCTTTGTTCCAGATGTCTGGAAAAGCTCCAGTTGACAGAATAGTATTGAATAGTTTTAGTATAGCCATTCTGATTTTATGGTCTGAGTATTTGATCATTTCATTGAGGATTCCATCAATACCACAAGCCTTTTTTCCTTTCAGGGACTGGATGACTTCTGTTAATTCTTGTTCTGTTACTGGGTAGAGGGTTTTGGTTGTTTTTTTATCACCGCCTCCAGAGTTTTCCATTTTGTGAATATCTTGTACTGATCATCATTTTTTGTAATATTACTTTATAATTCACTAAAGTGATTAATCCAAGTATTTCCATCTTGGATCGCCAATTCATCCTGCTGGGTTTTGTTTAGGTTGTTCCATTTCTCCCAGAAATGGTTGGATTCGAGGGATTCCTCAGTTTCACAGAGCTGGTTCTTGCTGTGTTGTTCTTTCTTTGTTTTTAGGGTGTACTTGTATTGTTTCAGAGTGGCCTCATATTGACAGCGTATGTTGTGGTTATCTGGGTCTCTATGCTTTTCATTTGATAATTTCCTTAAAGTTTTCCTTAGGTTTTTGCATTCAGTGTCAAACCATTTGTTATTGTTCATTTGTTGAGATTTTGGTTTGGAGGCTTTCAAATTAGACAATAGTGCCAAATGATGAAAAATTGAATTGATTTTGTCCACAGCAGAATTTACACCAGAATTATTGTGGGGAAATGTTTCAGTTAGAAATAAATGAGTTAAATCATATATGTTTTGATTTTCCAGTGCCTTTTGTTATGCCCCCCAGGCTGTCAGGGGTCCATCTGTATGAGTATGTGCTGTTAAACAGTTCACAGGCACTAGGGGCTCCAGAGTTAGACTGGGCCCTTTTCAGATAGATTGTGATTTTGCTGTTGTCTGAGAGGGGTGTGAGGGGGCTGACTGTGAAAGCTCTGAGAGACATTGGATCTAGATCTTTAATGAAATAATCTACCGTACTACTGCCAAGAGCTGAGCTGTAAGTGTAGCGACCCAGAGAGTCCCCTCGTAGCCTCCGCTGACTATGTACAGACCCAGTGTACGGCAGAGCTGTAAAAGCTGCATACCGCTTGTATTAGTAAGCTTGTCAAAGCTCTTTCTAGTAGGACATTCAGGGAGGGGGAAGCAGGTGCTTCCAGGTAAGTGTTTGTCTCCCTGGGTGTTCATAGTGTCAGCTCTTTCCCCTATTCGAGTGTTCAAGTCCCCACAGAGTAATACATTTCCCATGGTTTTATAATGGTTAATTTCCTCCTCAAGAATAGAGAAAATATCTGGGTTGTAGTAGGGGGATTCTGATGGAGGTATATAGATGGCACACATGTAGACATGTTGCTCAGCACAAATAATCTTTTTGTTAATTTTCAACCATATATAAGATTCTTCTTTTTTAATAACTGTGATGGACTGGCTCAGTTCTGATTTACACCATATAATCATGCCTCCTGAATCTCTGCCTTGGGTTATTGTGGGATGTTTTGTTGATGGTATAATAATCTCAGTGTAGCCGTGAGGACAACTAGTGGAAACATCTTCTCTGCACCATGTCTCCTGTAAAACTATGTCAGAGTCTTTTAACTCTCTATTAAAATCTGAGTTTCTGCTCTTTAAACCAAAAGCTGATGATCTCAGACCTTGAATGTTCCAACATGTTATTGTAAACGATTTCATCTCCAAGTGTGATCCATTCAAAAATTAGACAAACACCTTAAAAGAAAAATAATAATAATAAACTAGATATTAAAAAATAATAATGGTAATAAATGAAAAGTGTAAAAAGAGGTAAATTAATAAAATATTAAACTTTGAGTGACATTTTAGAGTGTATCATGTATGAAATACTGTTAAGAGTTGTCCTTATATTACTATTCATTATATACAACATGTTAAACTATTAATAATTGTGGTGTCTCTGCTCTTCCACCATGTAGCTACATGAGGCGAGAGCAGAGCAGGTTTAGCATGTGTAATATTTCTGAGTTCACCAGAGGGGGGTGGGGCTGTGGCACCGCTGCAGCATAGTTCAGCCCAATAGGCTGCTGCTCCTGTAGTCTTGGTTCTGTCGTTGGGAGGAGGGGGGGTATAGGACCTCCAGGCTGGGGGGCTCTCTGGCTGGGTATCAGAGGCCAGTGTTGTGTTGGCAGTGGGGTGGGCTGTGGGTTGTGATGTTGGTGATGCAGTGGATTTGGTGGCCTGGTCATCCTCTCTGACAGCCGGGGGTGGAAGCATGGTGGAGGTCTGGATGGTCTTGAAGGTCGAGGAGGTCCTGGCGGTCTGCGTGGGGTCTGCGTTGTGTGGTTACCCCTTGGAGTGGTAGTAAGGCTCCTTCCAAGGGCAACATCCTTCAGGGTCCTAGCAAGGATGGGGACTGCATTCCTGTGTAGGTGTATGTTATCATACAGGCAGTCCAGGTGGAGAGTCGGGTGGTGGGCCAAGAACACGTTGGGTTTGAGGGCACAGTCCCTGGAGAGGCTGATATTCACTCTGTGAATGGTGTGGGGGTGGAAGTCTCTCCTGTGTAGCAGTGTGGATATGATTATCTTGCTGGTAGGAAAATTGGTGGAAGCTTGCTCAATGACTCTCCTCAGAGAGTCTGCCAGTCTGTCCTGTTGGGACCTTAAGTCGTTGGTGCCTGTTGGATGATGATGTGGCTAGGTGAGCCTAGCTCAGGCACTGTTAACAGCTCCAGGGCTCTCCTGGTGTTGGGGCACCAGATCTTCTCCGTTCTGTGTCTTGGAAATGAGGTCTTTTCATCCAGGAACTTTCCATTAGAGTCCATAAGGAGGATAATGTCAGCCCTTCTGCCTGTGTGTGTTTGTTCAGTCTCAGCTGTCGGGTCTGGATGTGGAGCTGCGGTGGTGGTTTCAGGTCTGGAGCTCCTAGTTGGAGGCTGGCAGAGGCCAGGCTTTGGACAGTTTCAGGGGTCTTGGCTTGGGATGTGTGTATGGAGGCAGCAGGTTGATACGGGGGATTAGAGTCTGACCAGGCTGGGTGAGAGGGGTGGTCCTAGAGGAAAGGGCCCTGTTGTACTTCAGGTGTAGTGGGAGTTTGGCTGGATGTGGTCTGGGTCTGAAAGGTGAGCACAGGGGGTTGTGTGGAGTTCAGTCTGGCTTGTAGACTGAGCCCTGTTCTGTCCCTCTCATGTAGCTCTTCTCTCAGAGTAGCCAACTCAGTTCTGCAGTTGTCTCTGTCCTTCCTAAATTCCTGTACCTCCTCACTGAGATGGTCCAGCTGTGAGTTGACATTGTTCTGTTCTTTCTTGGCCTGGAAGTCACTGACAGTAGGAGAAGTAGGCTGCTGTTGGTCCAGCTGCTCTCTGATCTGAACCAGTTCTATTTCCATCTGGAGAAGTGTTCTCTCATTATGTCCAGAGCCTCAGAGTGCTGTAGCAGGGGAAGATCAGTGTCAGCATCTGCAGGCTGTCTGTCTGGAGCAGGGACAGAACAGGGGGGTTTGGCTCCCAGTGCTGGAGCGATGTTTGTGAGGATCTCCTTTTCCTTCTCAGCACTCAGTCTCATAGCAGGAAAGTCGAGTTCAAACTGTCTCAGGTCGCCTTGTATCATGGCAGTTCCATTTTTGAACAGGTTTACTGTTATTCTGGTGGTGTTAGAGTCATTCTCTTCTAGTACACTTATTTTCCATCCATTACAAATACCTGTTCTCTTTATTGCTGGGTAATGCGAGCTGAACATATTCAGCCAGGCGACTGGTTCATCAGTCCAGAAGATTAAATTGCAGAACCTTCCATCTTTGTGATGGTCCAGGAATAAGATTTCTGGTCTTTCTCGAAGTATTGTTTGTTTATATTTTCCTTTTGCAGTTTTGCTTTTGATAGCTGGGGGGATGTTCAATGGTTTCAGAGTGTGTAGACATCATGATACAGCTGTTGATCTTCAAGGTTTTGTGTTTGTGTTTAAAACAGCACTACTGCTGTTATTGATGCCGTTGCTAGGTAACCACAGTCCAGTATTAGCTTGTTAGCTATTAGCTTGAGTGTTTCAGTTGGGACTTGTTTTATAGTAATAAATGCAAAAACTTACTGATGTCAGTGTCCAGTAGTTTGCTGTTACTTGCTTCAGTCTCCCCTGTCCTCTTCTTGGTTTGTTTTTTGTTTTCTCCGTGTTTCTCTTAAGCTTGATGTTCGGTTTCTGAGCTCCTTCTTCCAACTCTATCTTTGTTCCTTCTTTCTCTTTCTTTCTCCTTCTTTTCCTCTTTTTCTCTCTTCTGGTGTATTGTGGTCACTCCTTTTGCATTTTCCTCATAAAAAGTCGGTGTTTATCAAATTTTTGGACCAAAAACAAGCGTTTTGTTTAGCAGCAAGCCGAAAACATGACTTCTTCTCTCTCTCTCTCTCTCTCTCTCTCTCTCTCTCTCTCTCTCTCTCTCTCTCTCTCTGTCTCTCTCTCTCTCTGTCTCTCTCTCTCTCTCTCTGTCTCTCTCTGTCTGTCTGTCTCTCTCTCTCTCTCTGTCTGTCTGTCTGTCTCTCTCTCTCTCTCTCTCTCTCTCTCTGTCTCTCTCTCTCTCTCTCTCTCTCTCTCTCTCTCTCTCTCTCTCTCTCTCTTCTCTCTCTGTCTGTCTCTCTCTCTCTCTTTCTGTCTCTCTCTCTCTTCTTCTCTCTCTCTGTCTCTCTCTGTCTCTGTCTCTCTCTGTCTCTCTCTTTCTCTGTCTCTCTCTTTCTCTCTGTCTCTCTCTGTCTGTCTCTCTCTGTCTCTCTCTCTCTGTCTCAGGCGTTGCAGCAGTCGGTGAGCAGCAGACAGACTCTGGATCTGTCCCAGCTGATAAAGGTCAGCGGTCGTGTCGTCTGCTCTCAGCAGTCTGACCACGCAGCGTTCGTCCTCAGCTGGTCGTCCGTCTGTCCGTCCGTCAGCATGGATGTTCAGCCGGTCCGAGCCGTTCCCATCATCCCCACGGCCCTGCTGAGGAGTCTGACCAGCATCAACCGACCGCCGCCGCACGCCACCTCGGGCCGCCAGAGAGGGTGAGGACGAGTTCCTCTGGAAGAGGAGTTCATCCTTCTGACGGAGCTCGTCACTTTCTAACTGCTGTTTGTGTTTGCAGGTTTCTGACCATGGATCAGACCAGAAAACTGCTCCTGCTGCTGGAGTCTGATCCTAAAGCCTCCAACCTCCCGCTGGTGGGACTGTGAGTTCATCATGTGTCCGATACCCACAAACCATCCAAGTATTTATTATATTATATATATTAAAATTCAGGCCCTCGAGTTGCGTTCTTTCTCTGCGGTAGAGTCCAGAAAGCTGCTGTTACTCCTGCTGACGTCTGACACAAAGGAGAAACCTTAAAACTAACAATATGTAGTTTCTGCCACTAGGGGGCTCTCACACCAAAACAATAAGAAAACAGGAAGTTTAATGAGGTGGTGAAGCAGCGTGGGATCATGGGAGTTGTTGTCTTCACCACCATTGCTGTCATTGCAGTCAGCTTCTCCCACGCTGTTGGACAGACAAAGGACGTCCCGGAGGGGCTGCGAGCCGAGCTGCTGCTAACGTTAGCTCAGCTTGTTTCTCTGATAACTTAAGATCCAGACGTCCGATGACTAAAATCCTTCATCCGGTTCAAATCTAGAGTTAAAAAGCACCAAGATCTAAACAGTGGATGGTAACAATGTGGCTTCACACTGGATCAACAGTCAATGTATGACAGCTTCTGGCAGACAACCACAACGCTGACGCAGGCACAAAGGGGATATGACGCCATCGACAGGCGACCGGTGAAACGCAGCGTTACCTGAATAAAATGACAGATTTTAAGTCATTTTGAGTCATTTAAAAACGTATTGATCCATCCATCGATGTTGGTGTTCAGAGCTTTATTGTTTTTAATCAGAGCAGCCTGTTATAATATTTGTTTGTGTTAGTTAACTGTACTTCCTGTCATGTGACAGCTGGCTGAGTGGAGTCACACACGTCTACAACCCTCAGGTGTGGACCTGGTGTCTGAGGTTCCTGTTCAGCTCCGCCCTCCAGGACAGGTGAGGTTGCTGTCAGAGGTTCAGGTGTTTAAACTCAGCAGACAGTCTGACTGAGTGTTTCTCTTCTGTTGCAGAGTTTTATCAGAGAGCCGCTGTTTCCTGCTCGTTCTGTTCGGTTCCACGCACAGAGCTCCCCAGTTCTTCCAGTGTCGAGGACCAGGATCTGGACCAGGATCAGGACCAGGATCTGGACCACAGCTAGACTACCAGCTGCTCACAGCCTCCCAGTGTGTCACACTGTACCAGGTAACGACACCCCCAACCCGCAGCTTCAGACACAGCTTCTGTCAGATACTGTAGTGATGAACACCTGAATGTGGTCTAATGTGGACATGTGGACCATCAGCAGGTGGTGCCGGTGGAGGGTCAGACTCTGCGCTGTGAGCTGGGTTCAGAGGATCACAGCAGGCAGAGGGAGGTCTTCAGAGAGGCTCAGACCACCTTCAGCAGGTAACACAGTTTAAGGTGTTCTCTGACTGTTCATTAATTAATTACAGTTCATTCTCAGGTTGTCAGAAACAGACACAAGCAGTCTTCAGTTAGTAAATCCTACACACTGTCTCTCTGTCCTCAGCGCCGTCCCCCCGGCTGCCGGTCTGTCCGTCACCGATCAGGACTCTGGAGTCGAGGATGAAGACCTGTCTCCAAGACCGTCTCCGAGCCCCCACCCCCCCGCTCAGCAGGTCAGTCACAGGTCGAGTTTCAGGTCAGAACGGCTAACAGACGCTGAGGTGCAGTTGTCACGGTAACAGACGTGTCTATGACATCGCCAGACTCTCAGCCAATAGCAGCACAGTCGGTACCTGAGCTCACCTGCAGGAGTTTGTTGTTTCAGGCTCGGAGAGTTCAGCCGTCTGTTCCTGAACTTTCTCTGCTGATCGACGGCAGCTTCACCTCCAACCCTGGCTCCGCCCACAGACCTCCTGCTCCCACCTCCTCCTCCTCCTCGGTTCCCAGACCCACTGCTCCTCCTGCTGCTCCTCCTCACATCCACAGCACCCCCAACTCCAACCTGCAGCAGCCCTGCGCCTGCTGCCCCACCCACACCTACGACTGCACCTCCATCTTCTCCTCCCCAGGACTCCACCCTGCTGCTCCTGCTGCTCACTCCCATCACCACACTCCTCCTCCTCCCTCCAGTCTCCACCCTCCTGCCGCTCACTCCCATCACCACACTCCTCCTCCTCCTCCCTCCAGTCTCCACCCTGCTGCTCCTGCCGCTCACTCCCATCACCACACTCCTCCTCCTCCCAGCAACCGTCCAAGTTCTCCTTTTGTTCCTCCTCGCAGTACTCTTCGGTCCTCCCATCACCACCCTCCCTCCCACAGCTCCTCCTCTCCTCTCCCCAGCCACCAACACACTCCTCCTCCCTCCACTCGTCTCTCTAGTCCACCTCCTCCCTCCACCCTCCTCCCTCCTCCTCCCTGTCCCTACAGCCTCCCTCCTGCTGTTCCGTGGTGTGGTGACTCCCCGTCTCCTCATCCCTCCCGTCCAGCAGCAGACCCCGTACTTCCCCCCCAGTTCCCCCGTCCCTCCTGTGTGAATCAGTGCTGCGATCAGGCGGCAGGAGTCGTAACGACAGACACCTACCAGCTCCTCCTCCAACAGGACCGACAGCTACGCCTCCTGCAGGCTCAGGTATCATCGTTTTTTATTCCACACTTACAGTTCAAAATAAAAATCTGTATAAATTAAATCAACGTGTAAATCAACGTGTATCATGGCAGCGCTGAGTTTAGTGTATATTTCCATTGTTCCATTCATATTACAGTCTACAGTTATATACATATATGTTGTGTTAGATTAAATAAAAGATTAAATTTGTGATGTAAAAAATATGGTTCTCTCATAATCTCAATATAATGTTTTTACCTCATCGTGCAGCTTTAATTGAAATATAAACAAACATCAGGTTCTACTGTAGAGATGTCCTAATAATATATATATTTAACACTAAAGTAAAGGTTTTAGATTAGATAAGAAAGGTTTCATTTAGAAAAGACGATAGAGGTTATTGTGTAATGTAATGTTTTACAGCAGCAGAGTTACACAGAAGGAAGGTAGCACAGAAGGTACAGCAGGTAGGACGGCTGAGGAGGCTGCTGATTGGTCCACCTGTAGCTGTTTGACTGAGGTTGAACCAACTGTTGTTGTGTTTAGGTGCAGATGTTGCTGGAAGCTCAGGGGAAACTTCAGTCCTCCAGTCGGCAGGTCGACGCTGAGACACCCAGGAGCACGGCCAGCATCGCTGTGGGGACAGGTGAGCCTGATGGGACAGGTGTTTCCTCTGGTTAACTACAGGACAGGTGTTTCCTCGGGTTAACTACGGGACAGGTGTTTCCTCTGGTTAACTACGGGACAGGTGTTTCCTCTGGTTAACTACGGGACAGGTGTTTCCTCGGGTTAACTACGGGACAGGTGTTTCCTCTGGTTAACTACGGGACAGGTGTTTCCTCGGGTTAACTACGGGACAGGTGTTTCCTCGGGTTAACTACGGGACAGGTGTTTCCTCGGGTTAACTACGGGACAGGTGTTTCCTCTGGTTAACTACGGGACAGGTGTTTCCTCGGGTTAACTACGGGACAGGTGTTTCCTCGGGTTAACTACGGGACAGGTGTTTCCTCGGGTTAACTACGGGACAGGTGTTTCCTCGGGTTAACTACGGGACAGGTGTTTCCTCGGGTTAACAGGTGTTAACAGGTGTAAGTCATCTCACCCTCTGGTTTTCAGGTGCGAGTCTGTTCTGGGGGAATCCTGTTCAGCTCCTCCCACACCAGGATGTACAAGCTCCTCCCCCCTCCTCACCCACACCTCCCCCCTCGTCCTCTCCCAGCCCCTCCTCCTCCTGCAGACCGCACCCACACGCCGACCTGTCTGTCATCAGGCCTGGGGACGGAGCTGAGGACAGTGACATCACAGGACACGATCCTGCCGTCTCCCCCTCTAGTCACCACAGGTGAGTCTCGTCTACTGATGGAGACCTGAGACTTGTTGTTTAAGACCTGAGACTTGTTGTTTAAGACCTGAGACTTGTTGTTTAAGACCTGAGACTTGTTGTTTAAGACCTGAGACTTGTTGTTTAAGACCTGAGACTTGTTGTTTAAGACCTGAGACTTGTTGTTAAAGACCTGAGACTTGTTGTTTAAGACCTGAGACTTGTTGTTAAAGACCTGAGACCTGTTGTTTAAGACCTGAGACTTGTTTAAGACCTGAGACTTGTTGTTTAAGACCTGAGACTTGTTGTTTAAGACCTGAGACTTGTTGTTAAAGACTTGTCGACTCTGTTCCAGTGGTCTCCAGAGTCCGGTCCTGGGGGAGAGTGTCAGTATGTACGCAGCTGCAGACGAGCAGCAGAGCTTCTATCTCAACCTCATGGTAACTCGGAGCTTCACGATCAATGAGCCAATAAAACTGATAATGTCAGACCGATCAATACGTTTGTCTCCGTTTGTCTCTCAGAATCAGCTGACCAGTCGTCTGCAGGAGTCAGACAGCAGACAGGAAGTGGAGGAGGAGTCCAGGAGGAGGAGCCTGTCTGTGGTTCCCGATCGCTCCCAGTCCTCCCAGTCCTCCCAGTCCTCCAGGAGGAGGAGCTGTGGGGACCCGGTGGTCAGCGCCACCCTGCGACAGCTGCAGCAGCTCGGAGTCCACGTGGACCGAGAGGATCTGACCGAGTCTGACAGAAGAATCCAGCAGACTATAGAGAGCAGCAGGTACTGGACTCACCTGGTCTGAGAGGATTCACTGCGGTTCCAGATCCAGTATTCATATTTTTATACTGACGCTCAAACATACATACAATAAGTTACAGACTGAAATGGGAGGTTTTAGAAACTGCTATTCTTCAAATGGAGTCTGGTGTGTCCACGGTGCTCAGACTGGTTTTACTGGAAATATCTTCAGCCAGAGATGAAGATTGTTTCTGACTCATGAAGTTATTGATCCGTGTATCAGCCGTTCTTTCTCTGATGTTTCTGTTCTCACTGTGTTTGTTTGTGTGTTTGTCGTCAGCACTCTGGCGAGCATCAACCCGACGGCGGTTCTGTCCAGACTGAGCGTTTCCGAGCCAACGGCCAGCATTCTGTTCCCGGGAGGCAGCGTGGATCTGAGTCTGGAGGCCAACGCCATCGCCCTGCGCTACCTGAGCGACTCTCAGCTCAGCAGACTGTCTCTGGGAGGCCACGCCCCCAGTCCGGGCCCCGCCTCCTCCAATGACACCCTCCTGTCGCCTAGCAACATGTCTCTGGCCACCAGGAAGTACATGAGGAGGTACGGCCTGATCGAGGAGGAAGAAGAGGAGGAGGAGGAGGAGGAGGACGCTCACCAGCCACTTACTGAAAATCAGAGGCTCCTCCCACAGAGTCAGCTGATCCGGGACCTGCGGCCCAAAATGCAGCTGTTACCCGGCAACAAACCGAACACAGCCAACAAGGAGAACAGTTCCAGTGGGCGGCCATCTTTAGTAAGGGCGAGCAGCCGTCAGACGGAGGGATCCGTGGGAAACATCCTGGACCTGAGCCGCCTGAGACAGCTGCCCAAACTCTTCTGACACTAAAACCATCAGACTGAACTCTGAGGGAAGATTTTAAAAACTGCTATTTTTTAAATGGAGTCTGGTTTGGAACCGGTCTGCAGGTCTGATTCAGGTCCTGGTTGTCATGGTCAGACTGGTTTTACTTCAGTTTCTCTGTTTCAGGAGTTCATGAAATGTGTTTTTGTGTGTTTGATTGTTTTCGTCACTTCCTGTTTTTATGTGAAATGTAATTTGCAATTTTTTTATATATATTTATAATTTCACAAATAAAATTCTTAATACTTTTAAAACCTGGAGCTGAATCCATATTTATTTCAGTGTTAAAGGCTTTAAAGGGCCAGTTGTGGTCCTGGATCAATACGTGTGTGTGTGTGTGTGTGTGTGTGTGTGTGTAGGCCTACAGGCCTGTTGGTGCGCCCCCTGCTGGTCAGACGTCCGTCCTGTCACTTATTGATCAGCGATCGGTCTGAGGGGGAGTCCAGTTGGATCTCTGAGCTGTTGACTAACAGACGATCAATGTCTCAAAGGTTGCTGTGATGTTTCAGTGCTCTGCCGGACACTGACCTGAGTTCAGCTCAAACTACGCTCATTAGTCAGTCGGAGCGCACGGACTCTACCTACTCAGGTAAGATTTTACTAATTAATCTTCATTCAGAGAATTACTGAAGGTGTCGGGTTCACAGAGGCTCTTCTGGTCGACTGATCTGTTTTATCTCCTTCCAGTGATTGTGTCCTACTTACTGCAGCTGCACAGAAAATATCTCTGAGTTTAAAAGTCAGAAATTAAAGAGATTATCTTTTTATTTTACTCAGATTTATAAGTTTTATTAATGATTATTAAAAGTGTCAGTTTAATCTAAAATCAAATATCAATTAAATCAATTAAAGGTTTTGATCTTTTTAAATCAGCAACTTTTTTCTGAATCTTATTTCTAACGAAAAGAAATAATCTGATATTGATCTTTACACTTTTCATCAAATAATCAATGTGAGCAGATTGTGTCTGTAGACTGAAGAGAATCAGAGTCTCACTGATGGTGGAAATAAAGGTTTTACTTCCTTAAAACAGCCATTTTTGAATGGAGTTTGGTGTGACAGTGTGGAGCAGAGGGGATTTGAACCTTAATAATTCCCATAAACTGAACTGACCTACCTTCTAATAATGAACCTTGGAAACAGCAGACAGTAACAGGAAGTGGAGATTGAATTGAATTGAAATATCTTTAATGTCCCCAAGGAGCAATTTGGTTCACAACAGGTAGCCAACACATACACATTCGCACAAAAACACATAAAAACATGAAATGATGAATAGATAAAAGGGTTAGGGTTAGGGTTAAACCCTCCTGTTTTCTAATTCTGTGGTCTCGTAGTAAAAGGTTGATTCAAAAAGGGGGCGGGGCTTAATGTGAGGCCCAAGTACCCGAGGAACTTCTCTCATCTATTAGACAATTAGCTTTTCTTTACAGAAGTGAACCAGATGCAGAAATATAGTTGGACTGTGTATTTTTAAGTTTTCTTACACGCTTTAAAATCAAGAAGGCCCCCTAGTGGTGGGGGTCCCAAACCCTAGGTTGGGAACCACTGGTTTAATATGGATCAATCCGATACAGTCTTTAATGTTTGTTTAATATAGACATTTGTTTTCCATTCTACACTAAAATAATTCTATAAAAGTAAAAGTTTACCTTCAAATACAGATTTTATAAAATATTGATATAAAACAGTCTGCGTACGATGTACTCGCATCTGTAACGTTAAAACACCTCTAATTAACCTGATTATCTAATAATAAATAATCTAATACTCTAATTAATCTGACTGTCTCTGTCCAGAATGAGGGCTTCTGATTGGCTGTTGGCTCTGGCGTTCCTGCCGCTTGTCTCTGCCGCCCATCCGGACATCTGTAGCGCCAAACCCAGAGACCTTCCCCTGGAGCCACGCTGCATCTACCGCAGCCCCGACCCCGAGGACCCCGAGGTCCCAGAGGGCCCGACCCCGGAGCCGGAGGCGGTCCCCGAATCCACCAACCCCCGAGTGTGGGAGCTGTCGAAGGCCAACGGCCGGTTCGCCCTGTCGCTGTACAAACAGCTGGCCCTCAGCAAGACCCCCGACTCGAACATCTTCATGTCCCCCATCAGCATCTCCACCGCGTTCGCCATGACCAAACTGGGAGCCTGCAACCAGACGCTGGAGCAGATCATGAAGGTCAGACAGAAACTGTTTACACACATTAATCTCAGTGGCAGGACGCAGTCGGCTACAGGCTCCGCCTCTGTTTGTGTCTGCAGGTGTTTGAGTTCGACACCATCAAAGAGAAGACATCGGATCAGGTCCACTTCTTCTTCGCCAAACTCAACTGTCGTCTGTACAGGAAGAAGGACAAGACCACCGAGCTGATGTCCGCCAACCGGCTGTTCGGAGACAAATCTCTGATCTTCAATGAGACGTACCAGAACATCAGCGAGACAGTGTACGGAGCCAAACTGCTGCCGCTCAACTTCAAGGTAACGAGTCCACTCTGGGCTCATAAAGAACTGAACAGGTCTTCCACCATGGTCTCAGTACTGGATTCTGATTGGCTGCTGGGTGTGCATTACTTCCTGATGTAGGACACCGACTGAGTCCAGAGAAATTAGTTCAAAATGAATGTGCTGAAATAAACTAAAAACAACTTGTGAATATGTGATAAATCTGACACTCACATCCCATTGGCTGCTCACCACTGCAGAATAATGTCCTTCCAGGTACATCCGGAACTAATGGACTCTGTGGAGACAACCTCCACGCAGCGTCTGGCCTCCACAGAGTCCATTACTGATTACAGACACCTCGAAGGGATTGTCTCTTACACATCAGATATCTGACCACAGTTACACTAATAACCCGGTTCTGTGCTGCAGGAGAACCCGGAGAAGGCCCGGGTCACCATCAACAACTGGATCTCCAACAAGACAGAGAACCTGATCCAGGACACGCTGCCGGCAGGGGCTCTGGACTCCAACACGATCCTGGTCCTCGTTAACACCATCTACTTCAAGGTGCCCCCTCCTGCCCCCCCGTAGAGACACGATACACGGCTCTTTATTCTGCCGCTGCGGTCCGAAATAATATGGTTAGCAATTATTTCTTTGCGCTTTACTTTGCGCTGACGTGTTCTCGTTCCTTCCCTCAGGGTCAGTGGAAGAACAAGTTCGACAAAGACAACGTGTACAACTCAGACTTCAGCGTCAGCGAGAGTCGCACCTGCTCCGTCAACATGATGTACCAGGAGACCCGGTTCAGGTACCGCTACTTCCCCGATGACAAGGTGCAGCTTCTGGAGATGCCGTACCGCGGAGATGACATCACCATGGTGATCATCCTGCCGGGCATAGACACCAAGCTCAGCAAGGTAGTGCCCCGAATGTCATTGAAAGCTGTTTGGGGACAGGAAATTAAAACAAGGATTGTGCCACTTCTAAGGCTAGGTGGGGGGGTGTTTGTGTAGGTTTTCATATTCAAGGAATTTGCCATGGTAATTTGGTGCAATGACATATAGAAAATATAAATACAGATGAAACCAGAAACAATAAATACATTATAAAAAGAGCCCGAATGTACAATATGGCCGAATACTTAAATCAAATAAAAATTTAAATAAGTTTGTTTCTTCACTTATATATTATATTTAGTATATATATAGTAGTAGTAATATATAATATTACTAAAATAAAACATCTTCCAGGTTCGTCAGTTCGTTCATGCGCTTCCATCCACATAAGATCTGTAATGAGCTGTTTTTTGTCCCTGCAAATATCATTATGTCACACTGCAGTTTCCTGTACAACTCAATCATTTATATTTATTCCCAAATGTCAGTATTTGTTGGAGAGCAGCTGTGAGTAATGAGCTGCATATAGTGAGTGCGGAGTTGCTGGTTTGATCCCGTGTAGCTTAAGAGAGTGAAACCGGTGCAGGTCTGAATGTCTGTACGATGCCTGAACGCTGTCTGTATGATGTCTGTACGATGTCTGTACGATGTCTGTACGATGTGTGTACGATGTGTGTACGATGTGTGTACGATGTGTGTACGATGTCTGTACGATGTCTGTACGATGTCTGTACGATGTCTGAACGCTGTCTGTACGATGTCTGTACGATGTCTGAACGATGTCTGTACGATGTGTGTACGATGTGTGTACGATGTCTGTACGATGTCTGAACGATGTCTGAACGATGTCTGTACGATGTCCGAATGATGTGTGTACGATGTGTGTACGATGTGTGTACGATGTCTGTACGATGTCTGTACGCTGTTTGTAGGATGTCTGTCGATGTCCGTACTCTTCTTACTCTTCTTAGATGTCTTTACGATGTCTGAACGATGTCTGAACGATGTCTGTACGCTGTTTGTACGATGTCTGTACACTGTTTGTACGATGTCTGTACGCTGTCTGTACGCTGTCTGTACGATGTCTGAACGATGTCTGTACGCTGTTTGTACGATGTCTGTACGATGTCTTTACGATGTCTGAACGATGTTTGTACGCTGTCTGAACGATGTCTGTACGCTGTCTGTACGCTGTCTGTACGATGTCTGTACGATGTCTGTACTCTGTCTGTACGATGTCTGTACGATGTCTGTACGATGTCTGAACGATGTCTGTACGATGTCTGTACGATGTCTGTACGCTGTCTGAACGATGTCTGTACGCTGTCTGAACGATGTCTGTACGCTGTTTGTACGATGTCTGTACGCTGTTTGTACGATGTCTGTACGCTGTTTGTACGATGTCTGTACGATGTGTTCAGGTGGAGGAGAGTCTGGACCTGAAGAAACTCACTGACTGGTTGGATCAGATGACAGAAACCACTGTCTCCGTCCACGTCCCTCGGTTCCGGGTGGAGGACAGTTTCAGTCTGAAGGAGAAGCTGCAGGCCATGGGACTGACCGACCTGTTCAGCTCTGAGAAGGCCAGTCTACCAGGTGAGGGGGGGCGGGGACACACCTGGAGGAGGTCAGACAGTGACCCAGGAGGTTCATCAGGTGTCCACATGATCAGGTCCAAGATAAAAGACAACACTGTGTTTAACAGATACAACCTGAGTCCAAGGTCCACATCGATCCATTAATCAATGGTTGTTGGTATCAGGACATCCCAGTGACACAGAGTCTGTTGGAGGACCGGCTGCAGGCAGCGAGGGGAACTAATCACTGTGTGACGTTCAGGAACTGAAATAAACATGGGGCGTTTAGGAACCAATGTGAACAGTGGGAACAGGGGGCGTTGCTGGTTTGATGTTAACAGTGAATTCTTTAACTGGACTTCATGTTGTTGTCTGATCCTGATCTCTGAGTTTATTGAATTTGGTTTTATAAACCTTAAATCTATATAGTTCTGATAACTTTCACAGATATATTTATTTATTTATTTATTTTTGCACAGATTAGAATTACATTAAAAACGACAAAGATAACAAATAGTGTAAAGTGCAGGGAGAGGCAGAAAACCCAGATGGGCTTATTTAAGGCCTCCACCTAAAATTTCATAGTTATAAGGAACAGAAAATGTACATACAGAGAATATTATAACTACATAAAGTAATAACAAACTGATAATAGTGAAAAAGAATATATGACATCAACAACAAGTTATAATGAAAACAAAATAACAATATGAAAACAAAAATATGAACATAATATAAAAGTGTATTTGTGTGTGAATTAAAATTTTAAGACAGCAGTTAAATGGGCTTTTAGACATCTTTTAAAACATTTTATAGAGATGGAGTTTTTTGCGAGATGGGAAAAGGTATTCCATAATTTGGTACCCCTAAATTTAATAGTAAATTGACCTCTGCACGTAGAAAATCTTGGGGGATGAAGATCTAAAGATTGTCGCGTTGGATAAGAGTGAACCTGAGAATTAAATTTAAAATAAGTTTTAAAGTGCTCTGGAAAGGTTTCATGATCTGAATATACCTTATAAATAAAAACACATATTTGAGAGATATTGATGTCATGAACAGTAAGTATCTGGAGTTTCTGAAAAAGAAGTAGAGATGAGACATGTGACTCAGATCAGGTTGCCATCCTAACGAAACGTTTCTGAAGAACCAAAATTCTATGAAGTGAAGTAGGAAAGGTGCTTGCCAATACTATATTACAATATGAAAGATATGGATAAATTAAACTGTAATGAAGTGCAAGAAGACAGTTTGTGGTAACAAGATTACTAATCCTCCTAATTATACCGATAGATTTATTTATTTTTTTTGCTAACCCAGAGTATTTGTGCTTTCCAATTCAAACTCTCATCAACAAAGATTCCCAGGAATCTTGTTGTTGAGACTTGAGGCAACTCAACAGACTGAATTATAACTTTACAAAAATCCTTAGAGTATGATTTTTTGCCACAAAATATTATATAGTTAGATTTTTTTATATTCAGAAATAACTTATTTAAACTGAACCATGTAGCATATCTAGTTAAACCAAATTTTTAATCAGAGAATGGAAATTTGAGTGAGAATAAACTAGAGTTGTATCATCTGCAAACATTATTGGAGAAAGAATATTTGAGACATTTGATAAATCATTAATATAAATAAGAAATAATAATGGTCCAAGAATGGATCCCTGTGGGACCCCACAAAGTAGTGTAGCTTTGTTGGAATAGCATCCATTAATACAAACAAACTGTCTTCTATTTGAGACAGTTTTTTAACCATTCAAACGTAACATCATGAAAACCATATTTATGCAGTTTTTTCAGTAAAATATGATGGTTAACTGTATCAAAAGCTTTTGAGAAATCGATGAATGTACTACAAATAAATTCATTATTTTCTAATGCAGAGGTAACTTTGTCAATCAAATGAAGCAAAGGCATATAAGTGGAGTGATTTTTCCGAAAACCATACTGATGTTTGTAGAGAATTGAATTACATGAGAAAGGATCCTTTTGTGATTTTTTTCTAATATTTTTGAAAAACATGGCAAAATCGATATGGGTCTATAATTATTAAAACAACACGGATCATCCGCTTTAAATAGAGGAATAACTTTGGCAACTTTTAAATCCTCTGGTACAAGAGCCTGTTGCCATAGACAGATAAATAATGTAACCTAGTGGCTGCAAAATTGACTGCTTGACCTGTTTAACTAGGGATGCAGAAATGTCATCATGGCCAGCTGAAGATTCCTTTAGTTCATCAATAATGTCACTTATTTCTTGGACATCAGGAGGCTTAAAAGAAGAGATAGAAGGATAATTTCCTGTAATGAAATCCAGTGGATTACCACAACTAGGATGAACTTTACTGGCTAATTCATAACCAATGTTAACAAAAAATCATTGAATTTTTGAGCTATATCAAATGAATTGTTAAAAGAATTGTCACCATCTAAAAAGATTGAAGGTAACTCTGGGTGAGTCTTTTTTTCTCTAAGCAGCAACTGATTTATAACTTTCCATGTGGTTTTGGTATCATTTGAACACCTCTTACATTTTTCACAGAAATATTTCTTTTTTGCAGATCTAATGGAATGAGTATATTTATTTCTATAAGATTTGTAAACACCCTGGGTAAGGGGTGTAGGATTTGAGACATTTTCTGTACAATTTATTTTTTTTCCTCAGCAGCTTCAGCAAATCAACTGTAAACCAAGGCCTACTTAAGTCCTGACTGCATTTCCTAGTAGAACTGCCTATTGGAAAACATTCATCCAAACTATAGCTAATGACTTTCATAAAATGTTGATATGCAGAATGAGCATTATTTTCTTTCTATAGATCATTCCATGAGATACTGGCAAGCATATCTTGAAATTTAGAAATGTTTGACTTGTTTGCTCATAATTCTTTTGTACATCTTTTTGTTATTTGGTTTAATTTTATTAGGCTTGATTAAAGAGTACTGGAATATAGGAAAATGATCTGACAAATCTAAATATAAAACCCCAGATTTCATTCCTTCACTCAAGTTGTTTGTTAAGATGTTATCAATCAAAGTTGCTGAATTTTCCTTTACTCTTGTAGATTTATGAATAAGTGGGAAAAAGCAACTAGAATAAAGAATATTAAGAAAATCTGTAGTTAATGAATCTAAATTATTTTTTAAAGAGGTTTATGTTAAAGTCTCCTAAAATATAACAAAGTTTATCCTCCTTGTTTATCAAATCAAGAGAACTGGACAGACTTCATTAAAATCTTTGACAGTAGAGTCAGGTGGGCGATAAATAACACCAACTATAACATTTTTTCCACCAAAGACACCAGAGAGCTCCACAAACACTGATTCCACCTCAGCCCTAGCTGACTTCAGGGAAAGATCATCTCTAACTTTAAATTCATAGTCACCAAGAAAAAAGAGATACTCCACCTCCAGATCTATTCTCTCTTACGCAGTGAACTGAATTATAATTTGGTAATTTAAATTTTTCTCTAGAATCTTCTGTAGGCCATGTTTCAGATAAGGTAATAACAGAGAAATTATGTTTGAGTGAAGATAAATAATGAATACATTTGTCATAGTTGCAAGGAAGACTTCTTATATTCAGGTGGAAAGTGGAGAATATATTAGAAGGCATAGAAACACATAAGTCATTAAACTGAGTTTCATCATAAAATCTGCAGAGGTTAGTGGCATCAAATGATGAAAAAAAATGTAGATGTGGGTCAACATCAACATTGTAAGAATCAGTCGCAGAGGAATCAAAAGGCTTAAAAATATGGTCATCAGACTCAGATGTGTTGCAGTAGTCCATAAGGTGTAAATATAATGTACTGTGGATATGTCATTAAAAAAAAATCAGAGTACTGTAAAAATGAATCATAAATATTGATCTGTTGATTAGTGTTAGTTGGGTTAATCAGGACAAAGACACGGTCAGTAGTTAATAATAAAGTGTGTGTGTGTGTGTGTGTGTGTGTTTCAGGGATGTTGGAGGACGGCGGTGATGGTCTCCACATTTCAGACGCCTTCCATAAAGCCTTCCTGGAGGTCAGTGACACACTGCTGACATCACTGTTGACATCACTGACAGCTGCTCACTGATTGGCTCTGTTTTACAGCGAAAGGTTACTGTAGACGGAGAGGTTAAAGTTTCCTCTCGACCAACAGTCGACACCTGAAACAGCTCCTCTGGATCTGTTTACAGAAACGACTGTTTGGTGGATCAATATTTTTGTTGGCCTAAAAGAAGTCTGAAATAATAATAGTGAAATATGCACAATTAGTTAAAGTAATAACATATATATAATATGTACATATATACATATATTATATATTATATAATATATACATATATGAATGTACTTTTGTTACTGAACTCAGAGGAAGTGATGTCAGTGTCCTCTGGGATCCAGAGTCGGGACCGGGTCCTGAGTAAACCTGTTTTGTGGTCTGCAGGTGAACGAGGAGGGCAGCGAGGCGGCGGCGGCCACCGCTGTGGTGGCAATCGGTCGCTCCATCAACTTAAACCGGGAGGTTTTCCTGGCCAACAGACCGTTCCTGCTGCTCATCAGAGAGTCCACCATCAACACGCTGCTGTTCACCGCCCGAGTGGCCGACCCCTGCAACCCTTAACACCCGTCCAATCATCCAAACATTACCCAGAATCCTACACTGAGACGCTGTATGGATTCAGCTCGTCCTCATTCAGCGTCAGCAGCGTAACCTTCTCACCCATCAGTGTGCTTACTGCGTGCTACAGTACACACACATAATACAGACGTTTCATAGCTATATAGCAGAATCAATAATCAATAATAAATACTTTAATACAGTGGAACCGTCAATGTGCAGCTCTCTTTCAGCCATGCATTCATTACTTACTAGTAACAGCTGCTGCATTGTGGGTAACGAGTGAGTAAAGAAAGAGGCGAGTCGGTGGTGGTCGACACTTAAAGTGCTTTATTTCCTCTGAAGGAGATGCGACCTGTGAGTGATCTAGTGGTCATGGTGAAAGAAGCTTCTTCACATTTTTCTGAACTAATAATCAACCTTTGGCCTCACCCCCCCCCCCCCCCCTCCACCAACAGAGACATGCAACAGAAAAGATCTTCACATAAAACCTGTCCGGTTCTTCTACGACACAACTGAAGTACCTCCTCTTTAAAACAAACGTACAGTATTAAAAGTTAATTTACTAAACATTTTTCCTTTGACTCATTTTCTGCTTCGATATATTAGGATATACTTTGAGGAATCAACAGTAAAGAGTAATCTCATTAAGTGAATATATCTAAATGATTTATAATTAGGCATGTTGTGGTCAAGGTTACTGGATATTCATATACTAAACATCTGATTCACACAGTAAAAATAAAACATGTTTCAGACTGAAGCTGAAGAAAGAAACAAACGTTTGGCGTTAAAGCAAACTGATCGGAGCCTCGACCGACTCCATGAAGAGCAGACGGTGGTGATGAAGACGACGATGGTGATGATGAGGAGGAGGTTGGGCTGTTTTCACAGTTTGACTGAAGATGAAACTGAAATGAAGTGAAGAACCATCAAAGAGGAAAAGTCGGATTATGAGCCCCCCCCGTCCCGCTGCCCAGCTGACGCTCGACGCTTTTGTTCTTCCACGAATACAAGTTTGAATGTTTTTAATAGGAAACTGTGAAAAGTTTAATTTCTACCAAAAACCACCAGCAGGTGGCGCTAACGTCTGACCGTCTGCTGCTTTAATACAACACAGGATCAAATAATTCATAACGATATTTCAAATATAAAGTGACGGGCCAAATTCAGACAATCTGATCATGTAACAAAAATAAATAAAAGTCGATCTTTGGTTCTCAAGTTTTAATCGAGTTCAGACTCGGTTCACGAAGACTCTGAACGCAACTCGGATCCGACTTTTCCTCTTTTTACAGATTCCTCGAGCGTGATCAGCTGTTCTGGAAGCAGCTTTTTATTGATCTTAACTGGCTTGAAATGATTAAAGATAAAACTACACTAACACGGAAACCCGTTTCTGCCAATGTGGAAAAGATCGGTCGACATAATGAGAAAGTTTCTCGTTATTCTGAGATTATAATGATTTTCAGGATCCCTTTTTTCCTCACATTGGCAGAACTGGACTTCCATAGACTTCAGCTCAGTGCAGAGAGGTTGAAGACATACGGAGGACCCGGTTCAGATATCGTTAGTGGCCGAGGTTAACTTAACAGTTTCTGTTGACCTCTGCTGCACTGAGTCCGTCTGTTCCCGGAGGTTCTGCAGAACCAATGTGTTCGTGTGGTCGGAGCTGGGCAACATGGCGACAGTGCAGTCCCTCCAGGTCGCTCTAAGCCTCGCACTTCTGATTTCATAACAACTTTTCTAAAAAGTATTTAAGTAATATTTCTGGGTATTTTTTTGCAACTAAATTGTGGGAGAAAGTGAAACTGTCATTATTATTATTATTATTATTATTAAAAGTTAGCGGCAACTTGATCCAGTCAGAATAAAATTGTTCACGTCTTCGTCACAACAATAAAAAAGGGATCGAGTTTTGCGGCTCAACGTCAGATTTACAGAAAAGTTGTGGTGACAAAATTTACCCAGAATTCAGTGAGATTGGTTGAAACTTCCTGGAGGGACTGAGTTCATGTTTGTAACATGAATAAAAATAAAGTCTTACATTTATTTTGTGAATCCTAATTCGTCCGTTAACGTTGCTCCACAGTTACGGAGCCGGATTCGTCCTCAGATTTCAGTTAAAAAATGAACTTAATTAAAAACTGAAATTTTCAAGCATAGTGTTTTTAAATTGATCCATAAAGATTAAAAGTTTGCACGAGGTGATAAATCAGAATCATTATTATTTCTGGGTTTTATGGCTGAAATTGCATGTTAACCTCTTCTGAAGGCAAACCGTCATTATTTTACATTTTATTACATATTATTCTTATTTATTTATGGTGTAAGCCAACTGACACACGTAACGTTAGCTTAAAATACTAAATATTGAAATATCTGACCTGTGTAATATTGATGGAAACAGAAGATTTGAAATTACATTTCACAAAAATAAACCTCAGTTATATAATGTCAGTTAGCTGCATGAATACTACGATCAATAAAACAAAGTCATACATTTATATTCAGTTTACGGTTGAAGAAGCTTATTGATGTGATTAGCAGCCAAAAGATAGAAGAGAATATTTATTTCAATTTCAACGTTGAAAAGAAACTGATCGTATTATCACACACACCAAATGACTTAAGTTCTCTGCAGTGATGTACAGGTGTACTCCAGGACACTGTGACATCACTGCTGGGTGTGGTCACAGGTGCAAACTCTTCAGTTTCCTTATATGGAGCAAAAATACTGTTTTATAAGATTAATAAGATGTAAATAAACGAGGTTTTAGTGAAGAGAAGATGATTGTTTGTGCACACATTCACAATAATAGATTTCTGTGTAATATTTGAGCGTTAATGTGCGACAGAGGCGGTGAAGATATTTACGATGTAAAATAAAATGACCAGTATTTTCTGTGGTACGTTGGAAAGAGGTCTTGCGGTTGTCACGGTTACTGAATTTTACTCCATTTTGCCCAGCCCTGGTCTGTTGTGTGTCGTCGCCCTCTGCAGCGACTCGCAGGCATTTCTTACCTGCTGCTGTTACAGGTGAGCTCTGCGGCGGGTAGCTCGCACTGAGGTTTAGCCGTTAGCGTTCTGCTACGTAGGGAAAAGGTAAACGTCTGATTCACTGAAGAAAAGAAAGAGTCTGTATACCTGATAGTTCCTGGTTTTAGCCTGAAGAGTGAGTGCGGCGGCGGGCGGCGGCGGCCGGAGTGAGGACAGAGCCGCTGGATTCACTTGCATAAAAAAATGTAGCGTCCACTGAGAATCAGATTCACAGCTCTGTATAAAAACAGTAACAGCCCGTCTGCGTGCTACCGAACTACCAAACATCTGAACTTTACTCCGAACTCACATCATTCAAAAAAACATCTTAGTAGTTTAAATATGTTCGTCTGATAATATGTGATTTTATATCGTTCTTATAAAAAGTTCTGGTTTTGATCCCGTCTCTCTGATAAGTGCTGAAGTTATTGTGGAGGGCCAACGTGGCAACGTGGTCTTTCCTTTGGTTGCCAGGTGGTCCGACCTGCTCCCGCCCTCCAGCAGGTGACCTTTAACCTCTGGTGGGGTTTTATTTTAGTCCAGCTCCTTGGCCTGGTTCCTACATCCATCTGGTCTGACAGGGTCCGGCTCCTCGTCCCGTCGCTACCCGATCTATGTCGACCCGATCAGAACCCGTGTATCGTAATGACGCGTTACCTCGACTGAAGCACTCTGATTGGAAGATTAGGTTAGCGAGAATCAACACGTTAGCGTTGAAGTTGTTGGGACTTTGATTCTTTTAACTTTAGTGGAGCTATGCTAGCAGTTTTCATCCACTTCCAGTGTTTGTGCTAAGCTAGGCTACACACATACGGAGACTGTAATCCACCTGAAACATCCGCTAACAGGAGCTAGCTAGCTCACACACATCAGCTAGCTTGTACATTATGTTGTGTTTTGTGTGTTAATGTATCAGCTAATACCAGTTAGCAACTGTTAGCAACTGTTAGCTCCTGTTAGCTCCTGTTAGCTCCAGTTAGCTCCTGTTAGCTCCAGTTAGCTCCAGTTAGCAACTGTTAGCTCCTGTACTGATGTTGGTCTGTAAGAAAACAACAATGAATGAGCCATCTGTTAGCTTCCAAGCTAATGTTGATTTTCTTAATAAATTAACATCAGCTAACGTAAAGGTGGCAGACGAGCTCACAAACATTAGCGGTTTTTAAAAATGTTTGTAATAATTATAACAGTTTGACATAAAAGTAAAAACATAAGCTAGCTTGTAGATTAATGTTCGTCGATATCAGTTAAAAACAAGTAGCTACGAACTATTAGCTCTAATAGATATGTAGGTATGTTTGTAATTGATTGTAATAATTAATAGCTTCAAACAACTGGAACACTATTTGTAGCCAGTTAGCCTGCAGGCTAATGTTAGCATATGATGACAGCTGTATACTCATTAGCCAGCTAAACGTTTTCAGTTTATTCTCCCTGAATGATTTTTTGATAAACTGGAGCTTCAGCAGCAGATTTAACGCGTCATTAACTGCGACAGAAGTTCCTGATCCGGTTGCGACACACTGTCGTCTGTCACACACATTGTCAGAGCAAAAAAGTGTCCAAGAAAAACAAAACAAAAACAAAAACACATGCTTGTTATAAAAATATCTGAGAAGACTGACGGAGATCTCTGTGTGAGTGGATCAGAGCGCCCCCCGGTGGTGCTGTGCTGTGCAGTGCAGCAGCTGTATTGCGTAGTGATGAGAGGTAACTGAGCTGTGTAGCTTATCTGAGGCTGGACGCCGTCCAGTTTTCCTGCTGTAAGTCTGTTCAGTCAACAGGCTGCCAGATGGTCCTTTTTCTAATCTACCAGATCATTAAAAACCGAGTTCGACACTCAATCTGAAGAATTTATACTCGATTTACAGCCAAATCAACAAATCCAGTGTGATCAGAGTTCTTTTCACTGCATCATAAAGCTTCGTTCTCCACCGTGGGACACAAATATATCAGTTTATCCCACAACCTCCTCCCAGGTGAACAGGCGGGGAGGTATCGGAGGCAATGTCCCTCCACATACGACCACCCGGTATTACGAGACCGAAGTCCTGAACTTAGGTCTCGTGATAACACCTGAGCAGATTCTATTAGCCAGAGAAGGTCATGGGATACAGTCGAAAGCTCCATGTAGAGCTAAGTAAGTGGACCTTGTGTTTAGAATATTTAGTAGAGAAGATCATAGAGGTGTTCCGATACCAAGTTTTCCTTCCCGGTTCTGATTCCGATACCAATCCAACTGAACAAGCCTGAATGATTTCATCGTTAACCCTAACCCGGCCCGGCGCAGGTTCTAGCTAACGTTACACTGAAATCAACTTGCTGCTGGTTGTTCCTCGATGACCTTGTTGGTTTTGGTCAGTTAGAGTAAGAATATCAGAATATCAGGGTAAGCCAGTGAGTCGGAGGAGGTTGAAGGACACTGGTGGAAGTATCAGGGTTCCGTTTCGGGGATATGGTATCGGATCGGTGCGCAGATATGAGTACTTGCAGATACCACGTTTTAGGAAGTAACGGAAGAGCTTTAGATACTGGTATCAGAACAACTCTTGTCAAGACTTTACTACATTTTATAGAGTAAAAACTTTATAATAGTCTTAAATACAGAGTTTTAGAAACTGGAGCTTTCGGTAAACCCTCTCGGATCAGGACTGGGATCAGGACTGGGATCAGAACTGGGATCAGAACTGGGATCAGAACTGGGATCCGGACTGACTGATTAACAAGAGATCAGTAGTGTGAAGCAGTGTAGTGTGAGATCTTTATCTATTTACTAAGATTTGATCTAATGTCCCAAAAACTGGAGAACGGGGAAAGACAAGAACCTCCAATCACACTGAAACTGAACTTTAACAGTCGAAGTTTCTCATTGAACCTTTTTGTGCAACTGAATCGTTTAATGCCGACGTGGCACTTGAAGAGCGCGCAGGATTATTATTATTAACCTCACTGCTCCAGATTGTCTCAAGGCAAATACGAAAGACTGGAACTGTTAAACTGGCACTGAGTAGTTTGGCAAAGTTTCCACCAGACAGACTGTTGTGATGCTGCATTGTGAACCTGTAATACCTGTAAATATAAAAGTAGAAATCTGTAACATAAACTCGACGGAGGCAAACGAGGACCACTGCATCGTGTGGCGTATGAGGTTGTTGGAGTGTGTGGCGTTTCTTCATTTTAGCTTAATCTGTTCGGTTTGGTTAGTGAAGGTAGATGCGGTTTAAAGCGGAAAAATCTCAGTTCAGACTCTGAGGTGTCCTTTCTGTCGCTGCGGGTTCAGCGTCCTGTTGGCTCCAGGTGGATCAGACGGCCCCCCTACCCCAACCTCGACACTTCCCTACTTCCCCCATTTGAGGTCAGTCGGGCCCCGTGGTGGAGACTGAGGCCTGGGGACCTTCACTGTACTGGCCTCCGCCGCTGCTGCTCCCGCCCCCGCCCTCCGGCTCCTCCTGGCTGGGGGAGGCCTCGTCGCTCGGCCCTCCCCTGGATGTGACGGAGGCGGTGGTGGTCTCGGGGGAGGCGCTGTGGGCCTCCTGAGGGGCACAGCCTGGGTGGTTTTTGCGGAAGTGCTGGTTGAGGATGGCCTGGAAGGGGAAGCTCTTGCCGCAGACGTGGCAGTGGAAGGGCTTGTTGCCGGTGTGCTTGCGGATGTGGTACTCCAGCTGGTCCTTGCGGGTGTACTTCTTCCCACAGATACGGCAGACGAACGGCGTGATGCCCATGTGCAGGCGCATGTGGCGGTCCAGGCTGCCTTTCTGGTTGAAGGACTTGCAGCAGTAGATGCAGGTGAGCCGTGGGTTGTAGCGGAACCAGCGGTCTCCTACCTGCTCCCTCAGGTAGTCCTCATAGCCACCCATATCGAACGCTGCATGCTCCTCCCCCTGACAGGCAGAACGAAACGTTAATACAGACTAGAACCAGAACAGAACGCAGCAAATTGGGTTTTCAACCTCTTGATCAACAAAGAGCGCTCTTAACCTGGTTTCAGACCGCTGAATCTTTAGAGGTCTGCTAGTGACCCTGTCTGAGGATGGACGTTGGTACCACGTCGATGCCAAAATTCTGAGAAACGTGACGGTACTCTTTTTTTCTACAGTACCGTAGGTAGGTACCGGTCAGGTCTTCCGGACCTGATGGGATCAGCGTCTACGCCTACAGGTATTGTTTTGTGTATTAGCCTGTGGACAAATATTAATGTATTGTTACGAGTGGTCGAGTTTCAAGGTACAATTGCTCAGTCACGTTCATCTAGCTGAGCACTAGTAGGGTTGCATCCCCTCCTCAGACAGCTGAATGGTCACAACTCGGGCTGGGTACCGAACTTCGATACTTGAACGGTATCGACTGAATCAGGTTTCGGTATCAACTACTAAATATCTCAGATTTCTGTACTGCGACATAATTTGAAAACAAAAACTAATTAAAAAATGAAAATGTGAAACTTAATTCATTAAAAAATATACTTTTGTAAATGAACAGATACATTTTTAAGTCTATGTCTTCTATTGATTTTGACTTTGAGGGGAACACCCACTACCGTCCTGTGACTGGTTACCTGGGAGCTCGGCTGTCGCAGCTCGTCCGCCCGGCTCGGAGACTCGCTCTTCGCCCGCTGACGCTCCGCCAGGACGACGACGCTGCCGGTGGGACTGAACCTGACACACAAACACACGTTAACACGCAGGAAGTCGGGACGGCGCTCGGCTCTGAGACGCGTCTTCGCTGTGACTCACCTGTCTGTCTCGCTGAAGCTGGAGGACGGTTGGGCGCTCCGGCCCCCCAGCGCTCCCACCGGCCCCGTCACCAGCGTGCTGCGTCCCGACGTGTCGATCATAACCGTGGTGCCTTCTTCTACCGGCCCCCCCTCCTCCTGGTGCTCCCCGGCGCCGATCCACTCCTCCATCCTCTCAGTCTTGATCCGTATTCGGTCCATGCCACCGCCCTCCTCTGCGCTGCCGGGGCGCTCCGGCTCGCTGCTCGTCTCCACGTACCACTGACCGGCCCGGTTGATGCGAAGGATCGGTTCTTTTCCTGCTCTGCCGGTGGTGGTCCCAGACCCCTCCAGCCCGCTGTGCTCCACCGTTGGCGGCGGGCTGAGCGGCTCCTCTGCCGGACTGACCGCCTCACACACCTCGGCCCCCCCCCGCGGGCCGAGAAGCCGCAGGCCACCGTGGTGACCGCCTCCTCGTGCCACAGCCTCCAGGGTCCGGTTGCCCCTGGAGCCCCGCGCCTCCTCCACGGGCTCCTCATCCATGTCTGCCAGGCTGATCTTCAGGTGGATCCCCTCCAGGATCTGCGTGCAGCGGTCGATGATGTGCTGCATCTGCAGGAAGCTGGCGGCCGTCAGGTAGCTGATGATGTCGGCGAGCTGCAGGCAGAGGCGGCCTGTGTAGCAGAAGGACAGCAGCTGCTCGAACACCGTCGGGTTGCGGATCACCGTCAGCGACACGGTGCTCATCTGGCTCAGAGACATGTGGTCCCGGAAGTACGGCGAGCTGGCGGCGAGGACCACCTTGTGCGCCCGGAAGCTCTGGCCCTGCACGTTGACCACGATGTCGCAGAGACGGCCCTGAACGCGCAGCTGGTTCAGGTGAGACAGAACCGAGTTACTGAAGTCCGGGATGTCCAGCTGGATGCTGCCGGACCGCTCCATGCTGCAGCCTGCAGGGACGCTGTAAGATCAGAACCAGATCAGAACCAGATCAGAACCAGATTAGAACAGATCAGAACCAGATTAGAACCAGATCAGAAGTTTAAAAACAATCTTTCCTGGCACATTTACAGTCCTCCTGTTAATGAATGTGCATTGTCCCTTTAAATACACAAACAGGCTCCGTAAGGTAACACCGGATCAACTCGCTGTCTCGTTACAGTCTGATGATCCACGTTGGTTCTGGCTGGTTCCATTAAACTGGAAACAAACACTTTTATAAAGAACTAACCACTAACCAAACTAACTATTTACACATTAAATGAGCTTTGAAACAGTTGGATGTCAATATATTGTTTGATTTTCACTTTAAATCTAATTTTTGGGAAACTTTCATAATAAGACTTTAAAGTATCTAACAGAACATTATACAAACAAAACTGCATAAAAAGTTCCTTAAACAGGAAATAATCTGCTCAACATTGATCCAAATATCTGATTTAGTACAAACTGATTCACTTTTGATCAAGTTTTAATAGAAAATATCATAAAAGTTTAATAAATGATAGAAACTTTCTCTTGTAACTGAAATTCTGGAGTCCTTGTCCTGGACCTGGTCCTGGTCTGCAGAGAGGAAGAAAACTGATTCATTTATAATCTGAGTGAAGTTTTAGTGTTGGACCTGTCCAGATAACAGATCTGTATGATACTGGATCAGGGCCGGAGTTAGACCTGGATCTGGGTCCTGTCGGTCTGTGATGCTGCTACCAGAACTCACCTGTCGGCCAGGTGACCCGAACAGGTTCAGACTGAGGATGAACCAACATGGAGGATTCACAGCGTCTGACCGGACCCAGGTTCCAGTCTGCCAGCAGGACCCAGACCAGAACCTGACAACCTGACAACAGGACCCAGACCAGAACAAGACTACAACCTGTCTGACAGCAAGAGACCGGGACACAGATCCAAACCCTGTCTCGGGGGGGGTCAGGTAAAGCTCCAGGTGGGCTGCTGGACTCTCACCTGAAGGAGGGGGGGCAGGCAGAGATCGGGTCTGGTTTCAGGGTGCGGTGCAGTCTTCAGTCCTGCAGCTCGGCTCGGCTCAGCTCGGCTCGGCTCGGCCCCGGCAGGCTGCAGCTCCACCCGCCGCTCCTCCAGGCTTCGCGGCTCCAGCGGCGGTCGTGGCGGGTTCAAGGCCGGGGAACAGCAGCTGAGCTCCGGGTCGTCGGCAGCCGCTCCGCCGCCATTCCGCTGGAAGTCGCTCTCGGTTCGGACTCGGCTCAGTGTCGGCTCGGTGTCGGTCCGCGGCCGCTTCTCATCTTCCTTTTTCACGGCAGAAGGGCCGAGGCTGCAGGAAGGAAAGAGGGAAGGAGGAAAACGCGTGGGGCATGCTGGGAAACGTAGTTTACATCCCAGAAGGAGAGCGGGCTCAACGGCCGCTTTAAAGACTGCATTTCCCGGCATGCATCTGCGAGGAGAGGGGTCATCATGGCACTTGGAGTTTGGCAAAGTGGAGTTCACACAAATATTATAAAGTACAAATACTCCAAAGTACAAATACTCCAGTAAAAGTACAGTAGTAATTTAATCATGAATAATAATAATAATAATAATAATAATATATGATATTATTGGATTATAATTATTGATCCATTCAGGGGTTTTTTTTTACTTTTATTTGGTTATTTCTCACAACCTCTTTTATATCAAATATATTTTTATATGTTTCAACAATGTGCTGTATTATTGAATAAACATGTTATATATTAATAAATATCCTATGAATTTACATGTTTAATGTAGAATAATGTGGAAAAATATGTAAATAATCATTAAATGACTGATTATTCTGTTTATTTACAGATATTTACTGTTTATTTACAGATATTTACTGTTTATGCACAGATATTTACTGTTTATGCACAGATATTTACTGTTTATTTACAGATATTTACTGTTTATGCACAGATATTTACTGTTTATTTACAGATATTTACTGTGTATTTAATAATTAAACCGTTAAATTTAAGTTTAATACTGTTAATACAATAATGTAGAATTAGTGACATTAACAGTAAAGAACAGGATTTATATGGATTAGTTTGACAGATTTCTTGTATAATTACAGAAAACAAACATTGAATAAATGTTAATGATTTAATCAGCTTTGGTGAACTCAGAATAAATCAGATTACTTTTAATAACACTGAAAATACTTTAATATATAAAGTAATCCATACAGGGATATTGTATTTGTCATTCTGTGAACAAACGTTTGTAATAAATTCAGTCGACTGGCTGTAATGTGACTTTTTATATATTTTATGATCTGACACAAATAATCCAAGTATCAGAATATTAGTGTAATTTGATTACTTTCTGTTATTTTTGGATTACCTCAACACTGAATTTGTCAGAAAAGAAATCTATTACATCTGTATGTAAAATCAGTAATCAATGACTGCTGATCAGCTGATCAATGAAGCTGTCCACACTTCATTAGTGATGTCATGTAATCAGTATTTTCACATTAAAAGCACAGAGGGATTAAGACTGAGGAAGAAGCTGAAAGCAGAACACAGAGGAGCAATATGTAAATATACATACATTTATATTTACACATATATACAGTATATTTGTAATTTATATACATAAATATAGTGTATTTAATGTACTAATACCTCCCTGTACAGATACTCTACTGAAGGTTTTACTGCACTAACAGTTTGTGATTCTCTCTGATTGATGATCAGTGAAGCGATAATGATCCTCCAATCAGTCATCAATAATCTTCATTCTGTACCTGAAAGACGCCATAAACTCTTATTTTGTCCCTTTAAAGTTCCTGTAGTTCACAGTGACACCAGATTCATTGATTATCAATAGACTGATTGATTAATGGGCTGATGTTCCAGCTGCACTTTATAAACTGTAGTTTCATTTATTATAAAACATCAGATTTTATAAACTCTGAGTACTTGAGTAAAAGTACTCAGTTACTTCCTTTAATAAACTGTTTGTTGTTTCAGAGGAAGTTGATTCCAACGGTGTCGACTGTTAACGAAGGACACGGAGGAGGAAGTGTGTATTCAGAGGAACAACAACGGAGCCACACCAGACTCCAGAGGAAAAACTCACAATTTAAGGACGTGTGAAACGGAGAGGAACGACTGCAGACTGGAGACAGCAGGAGAGTTCACACACACACACACACACACACACACACTGATGTGTTAGTGTGTTTGTGTGTGTTGTAAATTTAAAGCTTTAATTTGTCCGTTTGTGGATTCTGAGATTGAAGAAGTTTGACTCAAAAATATTAAAAATAAACAGTAGTGAATTTTAAATTTTACATTTTGAACAAACTTTAATTTCTCCTCAAACTTTTCTTTTACAGTTTTTTTCGATTGTTCACACACATTTTCTGAAAGCATGCCTCATACTCTCAGACCTCTACACACAAATCAAAACACACACACACACACACACACACACACACACACACACACACACACACACACAATGGGCAAAACCCCTCAATTCTCCTGCAAAATGAAACACACAAACCATCATATGAATAGACATTTATAAGAACCAGTTGAACACTGATGTGCTCAATGTAAAACACTATGATGAATGGAAAACACTTCTTCTCCATTCATCATAATGACTCAGGCCTTTATTGTTCAGTGTTACACTTACTACAGACAGTACATACATAAGTGTGTAAAATATTTGACAATATTGTTTTTATACTCAGAACACACAAATACACTGTAACAAATATATTTTATTTTTCCCACATAAACAATGTACACAGTGTACATCCCAACCAACACATATTCTACATACAAAACAAAAGAATTTACTGTATACAGTTACAGTAAAATAAACTATGCTGCATCCTCTCTTCTGTTTGGGTCTGGCCACAGCACCTCATCCACGTCACAAGCAATGTTTTCCCTGGCCAAGCAGCGGGGGAAATATCGCCTAGCATGGCGAATCCAGCCATGAAAAGCATCAACTGCTATATCTAACCCTAACCTGTTGCCCTTCTATGCTAAAGCTCTGATTTTTTCTGGTGAAAACAAGATATTTTCTTCATGAACATTGTGTCAAATGCAGAGAATTGTGTGAAGTGTTTTGAAAAAAGTGTGTTTTAGAACTGCAATTTGAGTGTAAAGCAGGAATTGTGCTTGTAGTTCAGCAGAATTGGTTCAGTGGGTTGGTGCATTAGTTACATGTTGTGGTCAGTTCCAGAATCTGTGTGTAAACAATTGAGAAAAACTGTAAACTTTGAAATCCATTAAATGAATCATGTGATTCTATTAAACTAATCAATAATGATCCTCCAGTCAGTCATCAATAATCTCAGTGACACTAACGAGACAGTTATTAGTCATTTAAACTTTGATCAATAACTCAATCGATCAATAATTGTTTGGATTTGATGTAATTGTTCCGTGATCATCATGTGATCATTTTCTGTTGATTAAACTTTCTGTTGTGACGAATCAATGACTGATGATCAATGAATCCATCGACACCAATTCATGTATTGATCGTCACATTAAGTGAACTCATTAAAGAATTAATTGACCTTAAAGTCCTTAAATCTTCATTTTAGACCTGAAAGATCCTAAAAACTCAAATTATCTTCTGTAAAAGTCTTAAAACAGTTAAACTTTAGTTTTTATTTTTCACTTTAAATCTGTTCAACACCTCAAACCTCCTTTAAACTCTTTAAACATTTAGTTATTAACAACCTTTAACTATTTTTCTTTTTTCTGTTTATTTACTTTTACTCCTGAAAACTTTTATCTTAAATTAAGTTTTAAACCTTTTTTAAAACGTTATAAAACTAAAATTTTAAGTTTGTTTGTCTTAAACATAACTTTTTAATGTTTTTATAGTTTAACGTCTGAAAACAATTTAATTTTATTACTTTAAATCTTTTTAACTTGATTTAACTCAAATCTTTTAAATAATTTGAACTCATTTTAGAGCTTTTTAAAGAGTTTCTGTGTAATTATTTTCATTAAAATCAGTAATCAATGGCTGATGGTCAACTGATCAATGAAGCCATCCACACTTTATTAGTGATGTCATGAGATCAGTATTTTCACATTAAAAGCACAGAGGGATTAAGACTGTAGTATCGATTGATTTCATCATGTGACCAGCTCGTCACACACTTCATTAATGAAAGCTGATTGGCTGCTGATGAGCTCGTCAATCTGCAGTTTGACCCTGATTAACTCCTGATACCTCATCAATAATCAATCACTATAAAGTGAGTTGTTTGTCTTTAATGTGAAAAGATCCATTAAATGAATAATAAATAATTTTAACTGAATTCATCAAATTAGAAATAAAGTTTGAGTCAAATTGTCGACATTAAAGCAGAAAAACTGAATTTTAAACCTTAAACTTCTATCTTGTAGAAAACTTTTCATTTAAATGTTGATTTTATTCATTAAAGGACTCAAACTTTAATTCCTATATATACACACATATATATTTACATTTATATTATTATTTGTGATTTATTGTATGCAAGCTGTGTATCCAGGGCAGAGGTCACTGTCTCCGCTGAGCTAAATAAAGGTTAAATAAACAATAAATAAAGATAAATAAAGATAAATAAAAGTGAATTGTTCTACAGGGGAGCCAAATGTTTGTGTTTTTCTTAATAAAAACACAATTAATAAAAAAGTTTTACACAATCTGTAAAAATAATTTAAAGTAAATAAGGGAAATGATGAAATAATGAAGTTATAATAATAATAACTGTAGTTTGTGGATCAGACCAGCAGGTGGCAGAACAGGACCAGAGAAAGATCTACTGAACTCCATCCTCCTGGTTCTCACTAAATACTTCAAATGTGTTTTATATTTTATACATTTTAGAAACATTCAGATCATTTAAAAAAACCGAGACATCAGAGACTCAAAACTATAATTTAGTGTGACAAACATTCGACTGAGTCTGTGTTTACTTACTATCTTATCTTTATCTTCCACAGAAACTTTGTCATTACAAACTTTATTTCAGATTCTATGATTCAAAAAATCTAAATGTGAACTGTGAGCATTTATTTTCTTCTCCTGGCATCAGTGGGCTTCCGTATGAATATCACACCTGTGTAATTATTATTATTAATAATTACATTAGTGTGTAAAACAAACAGCTGGTTATCAAGGTAAAAGATAATATCAGTTATATATTAATATATATATCATTATAAATAAATATATAAATCCTATCAGTGACTCAGGTCACTCAGTCTGTTGATAATTAATGTTTCATTAATAATGGAATGTTAAAGTTTAGATATTTAAGGAACCCTGAATGTGAAACCTGCAGGTTTGTTTCAGTTTAACGTTTAAAGTCTCTGCAGAACCTCCAGAACCTGCAACCAACCCACGAATCACTCAAAACTCCCCAAAACTCTGTTTGTTATTGGAAACCCTCAAAACCCCCTAAACGATCCCTGAAACCCTCCCAACGACCCCTCCCCCCTCCCCCCATGAGAACCGGTTTCAGAGTCTCGTCGTGTTCCAACTTGTCCTACTGGTTTCTGCTGCAGGGCCCCGCGGGGCCGCTGGGGGGCGTCTGAGACCTGGTTTTACTCTGCAGACAGTTCACATGAGTCCTGCAGAACCTGGTCGGGGGGGGGGGCAGACAGGAGCACATTGAACATGCAAATAAATAAAAACCATAAATGTGCACTTTATTATGTTGTTTTTGTTGTTATTGTTGTTGTTGTTGTCAGGTGAAGGGATCTGGTCCAGAAGCAGCAGGGGGGGCTGAAGCCTCCAGAACAGGAACTACAGCAGAGTCTCTGAGTGCCCCCCCCCCAGTTACACAATGCACGCACTGCATACGGTGCTGATCACCTGCTGCAGCTTCCCTACCGGACCACAGACCTCTGTGTGTGTGTGTGTGTGTGTGTGTGTGTGTGTGTGTGTGTGTCAGGTGAACTCCGCGGCGTTCCTCGTGCAGCGGGAACAGTCCGGGAGGAGGATCTGTAAATCCCTCCACTCAGAAAGAACCTGCAAACAACCCGAGAGTGAGGAGGAAGAGGAGGAGGAGGAGGAGGGAGAGAGCGGGGGATTCTCCGAAACCACCCACGTGGGATCACCGGCGTCTGCTGCGCGCTCAGCCAATGGGAGCAGAGTCCGGGGGATCTATTGACAGCGGAGGACCAATCAGAGAGCGAGCTGCCGGGCGGGGTGACGCCCACCGCGCACAGAGAGTATAAAGAGAGAGAGTGAGAGCCTCCAGCAGCACAGACTGTCTCTCTCCCTCTGCACGGACTAACTGTCGGCAACGGACTCTGGACCGAGACCTGGACCGAGACCTGGACCGAGCTGGATTACTGTTGGGACTTTACTCCGGGACTGTAACGGACTAACGGACTGTAACTGTAACGGACTGTAACTGTAACGGAGGATCTTTGTCTTTATTGATCTGCTGGATTATTTCTCTCCCTTCAACATGACTCTGGAGGAGCTGGTTGGGTCCAACAGCACCGACATAAAGTAAGTTCTTACCGGAGAGCTGAATCAGGCTGTGTGTGCACTTTGTACAGCTGTCTGTGAGTGCGTGCAGTGCGTGTACTGTGTGTGCGTGCTGTGCGGGGTTCTGTCTCTAACCGCCTCTGTGCTCTGCAGGATGGAGACGGTGAGTCAGGCTCTGGAGGAGTTGCTGGTCGTGGCTCAGCGGAAGGACTGTCTCACGGTGGGAGTGTACGAGTCCGCCAAACTCATGAATGTGTAAGTATGACTTTTAGTTCCCGCACGTTCCCGCAGCTTCTATCATAAACCCGCTCTCCCGTGAGCCTGTGTCGCGCTGACGTTAACCCGGTTCTCTCCTCGGTTCTGCAGAGACCCGGACAGCGTGGTGCTGTGCGTGCTCGCCACCGATGAGGAGGATGAAGATGACATCGCGCTGCAGATCCACTTCACGCTGCTTCAGGCTTTCTGCTGCGACAACGACATCAACATCCTGCGGGTGTCCGGCGTGAGGCGGCTGGCCCAGCTGCTGGAGGAGGACACCGAGGACGGCAACGGCAACGAGCCCCGCGACATGCACTGCATCCTGGTCACTGTAAGTCCAACCTCCCGCTCCTCCTCCTGGAGGAAACAGAATGAACTGAAAACTGAAAATCAACAAATACAAAATCAATATTACCCTTAATAAACACTGTTGATGACGTCATAAATAAATAATAATGATGATGATGTTACCTGTTGCAGAACCCCCCCGTGCAGCCGCTGCAGTGTCCCGCTCTACAGAACATCAGCAGCTTCTGTGAGGAGAGCCGCTGCCGGAACCAGTGGGTCCCCAGTCTGGACCTCCAGGACCGCTGAACCGGGTCCAGTCAGACCGCTTGTGGAGCGGTGAGAACGAGTGGAAACGGTCCAAACAGCCGGCCTCTTTCTGGAGAGGAACCGCGGCGTTTGAGTTGAGCCCGGACCGAGCCCGGACCGAGCCCGGAGCCGGAGCCTCTTCCTGCGGCCTGATGGGCCGATACTGGAGGGGGTGGGAGGGCGCTTGGACGGGTTCTGGAAGCCGGACCGGCCTCCCGGTAGAGGGTCCAGGTCCTGGAGCTACAGACAGAATGAACTCCTGAACCACTTCCTGCTCACCTGAGCTCAGGTGGCTACAGGAAGTGTGACATCATCATGTTTTATTATTTCCTGTTTGTGACACGATGGAGTGACGTCACAGTATTTAAAGGGACAGTAATCTATGTGATCAGCTGTTTATTGAACCTGTTGATTGATCAATAAATTATTGACGGAGAAATTATTGATTTCTGAGTGTTTCATCTGCAGTGTGTGTGTGTGTGTGTGTGTGTGTATATACTGTGTGTGTGTGTGTTGTATATATACTGTGTGTGTGTGTATATACTGTGTGTGTGTATACTGTGTGTATACGAGAAGATTAAAAGTGTTTTTACACATTTTACTGAAACCCAGCGGCTGATGTTTGTCCATATGAGCACCCTTACTTCTCACTGTGGGGTTTGACCATTAGCATCATTAGCATTGATAATCAGCTGATTGGGACAATCCTGACTCCGCCCACACTTGGTTTCCATCTGCAGTGTGTGTGTGTGTATACTGTGTGTGTGTGTGTGTATGTGTGTGTGTGTGTGTGTGTCCTCCTGCTTCCAGTCTTTGTGCTAAGCTAGGCTAGTGACAAAGTGTCACTGTTCCTTTAGCTTCCTGTTAGCATACAGTTAGCTTAGCTTCTATTCAATTCAGTTTGATGGGGGGGGCTGTGGGGGGGCTGTGGCCCCTGTGGCCCCTGTGTATTAACAATAAAGAGTCTCTGACTCAGTTCTGTAGAAATCTGAAACCTTCAGAGATAAAAGCAATGTTTTTATTCAGACTGTTAAAGGTGTGTGTGGAGGTCGAAGGTCACGCTGAGGAGGTGAGACAGGTGAGGAGGTGAGACAGGTGAGGAGGTGCCAGCAGCTTTACCTCCTGGAGTTTCAGAATAAAAGCACTTGGAAGGTCAAACCAGTGATTTATTGAATCAGGTTGAACCATTAAAACGTATTAATGAGTAAATCTGTTCCATCATTAAACATTTAATTATTAATATAATGTATATATATATTCTCTCGGGTTCCCTCGGTTCCTCTCGGGTTCCCTCGGTTCCCCTCGGGTACTCTCGGTTCCTCAGGTTCCCCTCCGGTTCCTCTCGGTCCCCTCCGGTTCCTCTCAGTTCGGTTCCCCTCGGTTCCCTCGGGTTCCCTCGGTTCCCCTCCGGTTCCTCTCGGTTCCCTCGGTCCCCTCCGGTCCCCTCGGTTCCCTCGGTTCCTCGGGTTCTGACCTTTGAAGGTTATTTGTTGGAGCGTGGGGAACGTCCCTGCGTACACAGAGTCCTTCCAGCTGTAACCTGAAGCTCAAACAGCCTCCAGCCTCTGATGTCACATCCTGATGTCACATCCTGTTGTAACGGGGACTCCGCCGCTCTGCTGACGCCACCGGGCTGTTTGTTTTGGCAGCCAGCCCGTCCCTGAGGGCGGACGGGGCCAAGACTCCTCTGACAGCTCGACACAGACGCAGTCCTGAGACACATTCACACACACTGTCAGACCGCCACAGAGCTGTTAGCTGTTAGCATGTCCTATTACTGGCATTGAATGGAAACGTTCACGGCGCCGGTCAACACGACACATTCCTAGTTCCCGCCACTCAGAGAGCTAAGGTTACTGTTAGCAACAGTTAGCTAATGGCAGCTACATTAACAGCCGGAGGACGTCAGACGGACAACCGGACAATATTCTCTCGAGGTCTGCTGGTGGAAGAAGCTCAATATGATAGGATTATTAATAATCATATTAATGTAATATTAATATGATTATTAATGTAATAATAATGTAATATTAATATAAATATGAATGTAATATTAAAGTTATATTAATATGATTATTAATGTAATAATAATGTAATATTAATATGATTATTAATGTAATAATAATGTAATAATAATGTAATAATAATGTAATATTAATATAAATATTAATGTAATAATAATGTAATATTAATATGATTATTAATGTAATAATAATGTAATATTAATATGATTATTAATGTAATAATAATGTAATATTAATATAAATATTAATGTAATAATAATGTAATATTAATATGATTATTAATGTAATAATAATGTAATATTAATATGCTTATTAATGTAATATTAATATGCTTATTAATGTAATAATAATGTAATATTAATATGATTATTAATGTAATATTAATATGATTATTAATGTAATAATAATATGATTATTAATGTAATAATAATGTAATATTAATATGATTATTAATGTAATATTAATATGATTATTAATGTAATAATAATATGATTATTAATGTAATAATAATGTAATATTAATATGATTATTAATGTAATAATAAGTCCTGATTACTCACTGATTTCTCTCAGCTCTGTACACTCCCTGTTCTCGCAGTGAAAAGCATTATGGGTGTGTGCAGGGATCAGGTTGGTACATTCCTTCCATCAGAGTCTGTCAGATTAAACTGATGTCAGATCAGTTCAGTCAGGGTGTGACTGTTTGATGTTAATGTAACCATGACAACAGCTTTTGCTAGCTTTGACCACATAGCAATTTGCTCCCGTGCTAACAGTGTCCATAAGTCAATGTGTCTCTTTATACATTATAATAATGTTCATTGCTGCCTGCAGGTTCTGTGAGCTCTGGTTCAGTTATTGATACTGATTGATACTGATTGATAATAACCTATAAAAGGATCAATGTGACAATGAATCCTCACACTGATCTCAGGAATAGCAGCTTTATTTTGGGCCGAACACTCGGGAGGAATATGTGTCACAGTTATTTCTGTTGAGCTGCAGCGTCCACGTACAGCGAGCAGGCCTTCCTGCCCTGCGTCACGTTGCCGTGGAAACAGATGGAGGCCGACGATTGGGGCCGAGCTGCCGGTGGGAGCCGCGGTTCAGCCGACCGGCACGTCGACGCGTTACGTAGGGAGATCCTGCTGCAGCGTCACTGACCATGTAAGGCTGCTCCAGGAGCCACGGAAAGCATCAGAGGGATGAGTCACAGAGGAGGAGGAGGAGGAGGAGGAGGAAGAGGAGGAAGAGGAGGAAGCTGTGAGAGGCAGAGATCCCTGCAGCATCACAGAAACACATCGAGCAGCAGAGCAGAAAAAGGACAAAGCTGCACAATATCACATTTCTGACACTGAGTTCAGGTTATTGAAGGCAGCATGAACAGGATGAAGACCGTGAATGAATCTCTGCATCCCATAATAATCCCTCTGAACCACAATCAATCTACTTCCTCATGTTTACTGTTCCCTGGGTAAATGGGCAGATATTGATTGGTAGCAGCTAGCGCTTTGAGCTAACATCAGCGTCGACCGTCCAGTGAACACCGTCGGACCCGGAACCGAACAATCTCAGGGACCGAACTGACAATCTCAGGGACCGAACCGAACAATCTCAGGGACCGAACCGACAATCTCAGGGACCGAACCGAACAGTCTCAGGGACCGAACCGACAATCTCAGGGACCGAACCGACAATCTCAGGGACCGAACCGAACAATCTCAGGGACCGAACCGACAATCTCAGGGACCG